GGGTGGATAGCAAGGTACAGTGACAGGGAAAGGATTGTGTTTCCTCTGGGAAAACATTAATTGTGTCGCTCTCCTTTACACCCGCACCAAAGTTTGTGGACGTATCACAGAGTTGTGATGTTCTCCTTAGTTTGACTCCTGCCTGTGCTGCAGAGGAATCATAAGTCGTGCAATCAGCATGAGAGGCATGAGAGAAGAAATCTCCCTGAGATTCTTCAAGACGCTGCCAAATGTTCAAGGGCTAGCTGTCTATTCTCTGCCCATATGCTCTTATATTATAAGCTCTGCAAGCATGCACGGCCGAATGAAAATAAAATGAAATGCTGTCCCTAGGAGCACAAGCCCTACATGAACAAAAAGACTCATTCAGGTCTTCCGTTATACATGTGGGGACAAGGGCACAAGGGATGGAGGCAAAGAATTAGCTTATTCTGCACTATGCATTATTGCAGATGTGAGCTAATTAATTCTGAGCAACGGTAATTTATGATTCCATTCATGCATTCATTTTTCATGGGTGCCCAGTCATATGTTTTGTTCCCTTATTATGTAAGTGTTTCTTCTCGTTTTTCACAGTGGCTATTAGCTTCTTCAGTGTTTGTCTGCAACCAGATAAGACTTGAATCTGTCACTATCTCCGGGGGGGGGGTCCTTGTGTGGGAGCAACAGAACATCTGAGGTGGTTCTGGAACAGAAGCTCATCCATTCAGACTTCATCCTGAACTTCAATCTCCTCTCAGACCACCTCCGGGTCTGGACCTCCGGGTCTGGACCTCCTCGGCACAGCGGCTTCGGTCTTTACTTTGGTTTCTTTATCTCCTCTGATGCTCGTGTGAACGCTGGTAATCACAACCTGGAGGTCATAAGGTCGCTGTGCTCTGTATAATGTACGTCGTCATTCTGTTATTTGATGTAATTTATTTTAGCTGTTGACTTGTTGCTCTGGAATAAAGTGATCTCTCCTAAGACGGGACGATGTGTCGACCAGCGTTACTCACATCCTGCCAGAGAACATCAGCGATCGATGAATAAAAACAAATTCATTTAGCTTCTTTCTGTGGACACATTTGATGATTTACTGCTCTTTGTCCAACCAATCAGAAACCTGCCTGTCTCTGGTGGGCGACCCGTCAATCATTGTGTAGCCCCGCCCTAAAGCATCCTACTCTGTGGGAATAAATCAGAAGTGGAGTGATTTTCTGTCGCCCCCCTGGTGGTCGCTAGAGAGTGAAGCTTGAACTCATGATCGGGTTTATTCACCAGAACCCTCTTTTGAAGATGAAACTATGAAAAGGTTCTGGGTTAAAACCTCTGTCGGGTTCTAGAGGTTCTAGCGGCTGGACCCGCACAGCCTGCAGGTGGGAGCTGGGAGACAACATCCGGAAGAGGTCCGTGGCCAACAGCTACACGGGGGGGGGGGTCAATGGATCGACATTTCTGCTCGGATCTAAAGTCAAAAATTGATGATCCATTTATTGTAAATCAATTCCCCTACAAAGAGACAAAGACGGGATGAACAGTAATAACCAGCACACATTCAGGGGGCAGTGACCCCGATGGAGACGCGTCCTCAGTAAAGAGTGAGAAACAGCAACAGTATATTATTTTATTAGTTTCTGTAACCAAACCAAGAGAATGTAAATAAGACCGTACATATTTAATACAGCGATGAAACCCCTGTACAAGTTAACAAAAACAAACAAATCATTACCCTCCCTCATCCCTCCAGAGCCCCCCCTCGTATTGTGCTCACAGCGATACGCATCCGTCTCCTCCCGTCCTCTAAAACAGCCTCATCCTGCAGTCCGGCCCAAACCCCTAAATAGACTCCGGAGGAATCAAAATCTTTCTTTTCAAATCGACGGCGTCTTTCTCCGCTCTCCCCTTCGGGTAAAAACAAACAAAGAAAAGACGCTCGCCATCCGGCGGCCGAGGAGACGGCGATCGGCGTCTCTAAAAAACAACAAAATCACATCTCCTCAACTAGATCGTTCGCTACTAAACAAAACCTTCTTCAATTTAGCAGAACACATTCTCCCCGGTTATACATGTGTGATCTGGCGAGGGAAGGAGGGGGAGGGGCCTTAAAAACAACAAAAAAACAAAAACAGCAGCAAATCTCATTTTGGATCTTCTCTTCCATCAGAGCAGATTTCTTATGGATTAAACCGTTTGATCGGCCTCTGAATCAGAAGAACTCGCTCTGAGGCCAGATCAGGGTGGGGGGGGGTGGGGGGAGTTGTGTTGCGGCGGGACAGCGTTGCTCCCCCCCCCACACAGCCCCCCCAGTAGATGGCGCTCTCCTCCTGAACAGGGCTCCCCCGCCTCTCACTTGCCCTCCTCTGGTTTGACGGCCTGTGGCTTTATGGGGCCGGTCCTGACGGGCTTGGTCGTGGACATGGGGGGCTTGTCTGCATCCGCCCGCTCGCTCATCCCCGGGTGGTTTGGGGCGGAGGCGTCGAGTGGGGGCTTCCCCCCCTTGCTGACCTGCGGGGCTTTGAGCTGCTGCTGCTCCGAGAAGAACCTGTGAGTGGCCTGGAGGACCTCGGCCCGCTGCTTCGCCTGCACACACAGAGAGGGGGGGGGGGGGGGGGGGGTGAATACAAGCCAGAGCCTCCGTCACTGACACATGACTCCATCACGTGACCCCAGGCACCGCACCTTCAGGTCCTGCTCCACCCTCAGACCCGACTGCGTGCCTCTGGGGGCCAGCGGGGGGCCGGGAGGTCCTCGGGGGGGGTGCTGGCTTAGCTGTGGGTGCTGAGGTCGGGGGTGGGGCATGAGGCCGCCGCCCACATTGGGGGACATCGGGGGTCCCATGGGGGGGCCCAAAGAGGAGCGCTGGAATGAGTTGACGTGGGGGGGTCGAACCAGAGGGGAGACCATGTTGGGCTGAGACAGAATCTGGGAGGAAGAAACGATTGGTGATCAATAAGATGCAGAGCAGCGGGCGGGACGGGCGGCGCGCGGCGCGTGTGCTCCACCTGGGGGGGGAACTGGCCGGGGAAGTGCTGCGACATCCTCAAGCCGGCGGCGCTGGCCTGGAACTGCTTCTGGTACAGCATGCTGTTGATCTTGCTGGACTGGCTGCTGGGGGACGTGGAGCTCGCCCTGCAGGGGGGAAGCAGGTCACGGACCAATGAGAGCGGAGACTCGCCAACGAGCGCCAACCGACGACAGCGGTACCTGTAGTGGCTGGAGGTGGGCGTGGTGCTCCGGGCTCCGATGGGCGGCGTTCCAGGCTTCACATCCATCCCACTGCCGAAGAGCTTCAGATCCATGTCCATCTGCAGGGAACACACACACACACACACACACACACACACACACACACACACACAATTCAGTGTGTGCGATAGGACCAACTTCCTAAATTAACAAGAAACAAAGACAAAATACATATGCACAGTGGGCTGTAATGTCACATGACATGTTCTGATGACCTCGCTGCCAGATAATATTTAGGAGCTCTGACTCGGTATCAACCCACAAACAAACACACGACACACAAACACACAACTCTTCTCCTGCGTCGTCGTCGTGCGAATAAACTTCTTTAGCTACAAAGACATGAAACAAGGAGCTGAGGAGCATCAGCGGCGCTGCGGGACCTTGCTGCTCGGCATCATGCTGTGGTTGGGGCCCATGAGGCCTCGGTACGGCTGGGAGACCGGGGGCTGCCGGTTGATGTTGGGGGGCTGGGCCTGGGGGGGAGTGGGGGGCAGCGCCAGGAGGGGCTGACCTCCGCCTGAGCCAAAGTTAGGCAGCGACAGGGAGCTGGGCATCTGCACCGTCATCTGGACAGATTAAAGCCGCTCGTTCAGCACCAGGAGATTCTGCCGCTCTCGCCCCCCCCCCACATCCCAACGGCCCCCCCATCCTACCTGCTGCATGGCCGAACTGGGCGACTGCGTGCTGCTGTAATAACTGCTCTGGCCGTGCTGCTGCACCTGCCCCGAGTACATGTTGGAATGCTGACTCATCCCCTGGCGGGCCTGAAACCGAAGCACACGCGTGAGCCGGGACTCCGGCACGGAGAGATAAATACAGATGTCAGCGAGGCGTCGGTCAATACCATGAGGCCCAGTGGGACACTTCCTTTGTGCAGACTGGTTACCTGCAGCAGGTGTGTGTCCATGAGCTGGGAGCCCCCCATGCCAGAGGGCTGGTTGAGCTGCGGCTCAAACAGGATGGGGATGTGCTGCGTGGAGGAGGCCTGCTGGTAGGCCAGGCCGGACTGAGGCTTGCCCAGCTCGGAGGCCTGCACGCCGGCGTAGCTGTGCAGCGGGGGGCCCGACAGCATCATGGAGGGCTGCGACAGGCTGCTCTGCATGAAGGCCTGCTGGGACCTGAGGGCGGCGCGGAGGACGGGCGCGGTGAGACGATGCTCGGCAGCAGCGTGCGGGCGCTCGGCGCTCTGAGAGTTTACCTGTAAGGCTGCAAGGAGGAACTGAACAGGTCCTGATGCTGGGAGACGGGGGGGCCGGTGCTGAGCCCCAGCTGGGCCTGATGTTGGTGCTGGTGGTGCTGATGTTGGTGCTGGGGCTGGTGGTGCTGATGTTGGTGCTGGGGCTGATGGTGCGGATGTTGGTGCTGGGGCTGATGGTGCTGGGGGGCATAGATGGGGATGGGGATCTGCTGCACTGCTGTGGGCTGCAGGACGAGGAGAGAAACCGCTTCCATTAGAAAAGGTTCCTGCAGAACGTTAAAGACTAAAGACGTTAAACACCCACCTGCGAGATGCCCGGCTGGAAGCCCTGCTGCTGCGCCAGCGAGGGGGGGGCCAGGCGAGGGTGGGGGTTGCCGAAGAGGTGGCTGGTGTCCATGTAGAAGGCTGGAATCTGAGCTGCAGAACCTCGTCACACACGGGTTTCATCATTAGTTATTTAGCCCTTAAAGTATGAAGCTGATGTCCATGAAAGGACAGGCGGGTGAATCCGGATGTCTCACCTGCTGCAGACTGAGAGACGTACACCTGGGGGGTCTGCTGCTGCTGCGGCGGCAGGAGGGTCGGCACGCAGCCCAGCTGGGAGAAGCTGCCAGCGTTGGAGGACAGACCGCCCACCTGCAGCTGCTGGGGCTTCACCTTGCAGATGTTCGGGGGGTCGCAGGCCGTGGCGGTCTTGGTGCCGAGGGACGAGGTGGTGTAGGTGCCGGCGCCTGCAGAGCAGAACACGGTGAAGACGTAGCCACGCTTAAAGCTTCGGCCCCTTACCTGACAGCGAGGCCCCTTACCTGACAGCGAGGTGCTGGGCGTGACGGACGCCACGGGGATCTGTGGCATGGAGGCGGAGGAGAAGGTGGAGTACGAGGACGCACAGGAGGTGATGGGGGAGGAAGAGGTGGTGATCGGAGAGTTCTTCTCCAGACTCGGGGAGTTCTCCCACGCCTTACGGGCCGACTCCATCTGACGAGGAGACAGAAGGAGGCGCTCGGTCACGTGTCACTGAAACGCTGGCGAGGAGCTCAAACAGCTGCGCTTCCTGCGTGTACCTTCAGCGTGAGGTCCACTGTGGCAGGAGACACGGTGCTCAGGCTGGAGCTCTGCTGCAGGGTCTCCCGTCGGGGGAGGGGCAGCGGGTGGGGCAGCGCCACCTGTCAGACACAGAACTTACTACTGGAGCCTCGCCGTGTATCGCAGTGAACGGCGCACACTCACGTTGGCCACCAGACTCTCGTCTATCTTGTTGACTCCGGTGGGAACGCTGTCTGCCAGCGAGGCGGAGGGGGTGGTGTAGTCAGTGACGGACTCCTGGGGGAGACAGAACACACGTTGCACGCTGTGTGGACGTACGGAGGACAGCGAGCGTTAAATATCACACGGTGAAAGGAGGAAAGGTCATGTGACACCTTGGAGTTACTGTGGTACTCTGCCGAGGCGACGGTGATCATGCCCTCGATGTCTCCGCCCAGCTCGGGTACGGCGGCGTCGCTGATGGGAGGACTGGGGTCTGTGGCTCTGCCGACGCCCCCCCCGGGGACTCCTCCCTCCCCCCCCTCGGCGTCTATGGCCTTGCGGTTCTTTAGAGAGCGCTCCTTCCCGATGGGACCCGGCTTGTACTCCTTGGGTTCCACTGGTTCCAGCTCAGGGAGCTGGACAGAAGGACGGAGTTGATGTTTCACTGAACAGGAAGGAAGCCCCCCGGCGAGTCCCCCCCCCCCCCCACACCCACCTTCTGCGCTTTGATGGGCCCGGCCCGCGGCTGCTTGGGTCGCTGCTCCTTTGGGGCGGGCAGCTTGTTTTCAGAGACGACCTCTGGCAGCGCCGGAGCGCCGTCGCTGTCCGTGCTGCCCGCAGACGACGGCGCTCCAAACTGAATGCTCTCCATCGCCAGCTCCCCCGCGACCTCCGACCCCGGCTTCACCCCCTGAAACGACACAGCCGGAGGCGAGAGGTCAGCGGGGGCTGCGCGCCGACAGGAAGGAGAGAGACGCCTCCCACGTACCTCGCCGGTGAAGGAGGTCAGCGGCTTGGTCCAGGCGCTCACAGGGGGCTGGGGGGGGCTGATGGGACCAACTGCAACACACGTTACCTCTCATGAGCTCACTGATAAATACACAAGGCCGACCCCCCCCCCCAGACCCCCACTCACGCTTCTTGACTTCAGGCAGGACGCGAGAGACCCCCTGGTGTCCACAGCTCTGTACCCAGAGTGCTGTGCGGCTGCGTGGGCAGTAAGCCCTTTGAGGTGAAGTCCAGGGCGGGAGGGGGGATGGAGGGCTGTGGGACCGCCGTCCCTTCCAGAGACTGGGGGGAGGCAGCGGGCTGGGAGGGGGTGAGGTGCTGGGCCTGAGGGGGAGGAACTGCAGGGGACTGAGAGGAGTGTTGTTGTTGTTGTTGCTGCGGTGGCGGCGGCGGCGGCTGTTGTTGTTGTTGTTGTGATGACTGCTTTTTAGCAAATCTGGGGGGCAGCTTTCCTCCGCCCCCTCTGCCTTTCTCGCTGGCGCCTTTCTTACTCCAGTTCTGCAGGAGCAGTTTGCACATCATGCCGCGTCCACAGAATGAAGGAGATGGTTGTTGTGTATTTGCTCACCGCCGGCGGCGTCTGCTCTTCCTTTTTCCGCTTCTCTTCGTCCTGCAGGCGCTTCTGTTGTTTGCGGGAGACGACCTCCGTGAAGCCGTCATCGTTGGGGTTGGACTGCGGGTCCTCTGTGGTGGTGACCTCCGGGTGGTCATCGATGATCACGACACCTACGGGGACATTCAGGGACACGGGTCAGAGCAGCTGGACCGAGCGGCCACGCCGCGGCTCCGGAGGACGACGGCGTCGACTCACTGGCGTAGTTGTTGAGATCGAACTGGGAGAGCGCGTTCTCTTTGGGCTTCTTGGCGGCCTGCTTGGCCTCGTCTTTGCGCCGGCTCTGGTCTTTCGGAGGCCTCTGCGACGCTGCTCCAGCGCCTGGTGCTCCACCTTCTGAGTTCTGCAGCGCTGCAGGGCTGTTGAGCACAGAAAGGAACAAATCAGGAGCAAAAGAGAAACGACCACCGGGTGCTGATGAAACACGAGAATTCATTCTGTGATGAGGATTCTTTAGTCGACCCCCCCACAGGAAGCTTGTCCATCAGCTTAATGGTGTGAAGTGTTGGTGTAAACAAAAGGGGCCGTTCACACTCACCCTTTGCGGCCGGTTCTGCCCCCCCCCCTCCTCTCGCCTTTGCCCCCCGTGTAGCTCCGGACCGGTTTGGCAGCGCTGTTGCCTCTGCGGTTCTGCCGCTCCGCAGGTCTCTGACTGGAGAAGCTCCTCTTGGCCGGAGGAGCCCCGTCACGTCTGGGGGTCACCACTCCGTCGGGGGGGCTTTTGTTGGGGGTCAAGGAGCCCTGCGGGGGCGCGGGGGCCGGAGCAGAAGCGTTGGCCGCTTCGCTCGCGGCCTCCAGCGCTCCTCTCCTCTCCTCCCGCTCTCGCCTCTCGTTGAAGTCGCTGCTCTCCGACGCCGTCTCCCACTCCTCGTTGGCCTGATCAGAGGAGTTCTGGTTGGACAGGTCGGGGGACTTGGTACCGGCCGCGGTGCCGGGGGGGCTGCTGGTCTCCGGCAAGGGAGCCTCCGTGGGGGAGGACAGGTCGTTCGCCGGCAAAGCGGCTGCCGCCTCGGCAGGAAGCGCCACGGGGGCCCTGGACAGGGCGGAGCTACTGGCGGGGAGCAGTGGGACTGGGGGACTAGGGACGGCGTCTCCACTGGCTAACCCCGCAGCCTCCCGCTCCTTCAAGCGCCTAAAGCGGGGGGGTTTATCTTGCCTGGGGGGCCGCGCCGGTCTGGTCCTACGAGGCCTCTCCCTGCCGCTCTGAGGGGCCACGTCTCCAAATCGCTTCCCTTCAGGCTTCGGGAATCGCCGCTCGGCTGCAGGATTGTCGTATCTCGGCGAGGACTCGGCGTCCTCGGGCCTGAAGGTCTCCATGGGCTTGGAGGGCCAATGGGACGGGGACTCTCTGGCTCCTGGCCGCCTGAGGGGGCCGGGGCGGGGGGCGCCCCGCTCCCTCGCTCCACCTCGTCGGTTGTACAATCCTCCTCTTCCCCGCCGTGAGGGCTCTCCTTTCGGGAGGAATCCCGGCTTGGGCCGGCCGTCATCGTCCCCCCGGGGCCCCGCCCGTTCCCCCACGTGAGGAGGTCCAAAGCCGGGCTTGTGGGGCGCGGGCCGGGCCTCCCCGGGGAGCTCTCGTCTCAGCGGACGAGCGGGTTTGGTGCTGGGCTCGCGGTCCGACGGCCCCGTGTCGCTGGCCGACTCTCGGCCTCCTTCGCTCTCAGAGTCGGTGTCTGAGCCGCGGCGCCGGCGGCGCTTGGGGATCACCTCAAAGTCGGAGCTCTCGCTGCGCGTCTCGCTCTCCTCCCGGTTGCGGAAGGCAGCGGCGCCCCCGGCGGAGGGCAAGTCCGAGCGGGAGCGGGGCTCTCGGTAATTGAACTCCGCCCGGCTTCGGCCGCGACCCCCCCGGTTTCGCCCGCTGTAAGTCCCCCGGTAGCTCCGCCCTCTGGAGTAATACTCCCCCCGGCCGCGTCCTTTGAAATTAGAGTCGGCGGGCCACTCTCTCTCCCGGTCCTTGTCCATGTCGGCGTCCTTCTCCCGCTCGTCCCGCCGGTAGGGCCGCGGTGGGAGGCTGGACTCCTTCCTGCAGGGCAGCTTGGGCTCCGGGTGTTTGTCGGCGCTGGGCGGTTTGTCCACCAGCTTCTCCTCCTGGGAGGCGGCGGCGGGGACGACGGACGAGGGCGGCGCGTCTCTGCTTTCCTCCGGCTCGGCGGCGTCCCCCTGGTGCTCCTCCGGAGGCCCGGAGGCCTCGGACACGACAGCAGCGGCAGAAGGAGTTCTGCACGACGGGTCCTTTTTGGGCCGGTCGCCTCGTTCGCCCCTCTCCTGGCGCTTCTCCCTCTCTTCCCTTTGTTCCCGCTCCTCTTTCATGTCCCGTAGAACAGGCTTCTTAATGGGTCCGGACCGGCGGGCGGGCCGCTCCCCCCCGGGTCCGTCCCTGCGTGCGGCGCTGGATCTTGCGGCCCAGCGCAGCTCAGCCTTCTGCTTGCTGGAGGCCGGCAGAGGCAGCTTCTCTTGTTTGTGTAAGCCGTCAGCAGGGGGCGTCGCCCTGTTGCCGCTCACCGCAGCTTGTGGGTGTTGGTTCTGGGGTTCATCGTCGGGCCGCTCGCCGTCCTGCAGCGCCTCCGATTTCACCCCCAGGGGCAGCGCGTCGGACCGGGGCTCGTCCAGCTGCAGGAGGCTGGTGTTCTGGGAGCGGACGCAGACGCCCCTCTGGCCGGGCGCCTCCACCTCCCCCCCACTGGGTGGGCGCGGCTCCTCGGGGTCAAAGGCCGGGCCCACGGGCCCTCGGTCTAGCAGCAGCGGCACGTCCTCTGGGCGCTGGGTAAACGCCGACAGGGACTCTGTGGTGTCCTGGAAGAAGTCACTTGCACTGTGGTCCTGAGGGTACATGGCCGGTAGAACCCGGTCCAGATCCAACGCAGACTCCATCCTGTAGAAACAGTTATTGTTAAGCACGTGGTGAACATTCAAGATTCGTTTCGCGGTCATTCATCGATTGCCACCTGGGCTCCTTGATATCATCCCGTCCTTTGGGGGGCGTTGGGGGCCGCAGCGGCTCCGCCCCCCACACCAGGCCGTGGTCACGAACCGGCCGGGTCAGATGGTCGAAGGAGTCGGAGGTGGCGTTGTCTCCCGGCTCTCGGCGCGCGATCTGCTTCGGGGGCATCCTCCCTGCAGGAGATGAAGACGCTTTCCTTTCATACGGACATCGATCATTTATTAGAATTATAGATGATTGCTGTCAGGATAAAACTCCCCACCTGCATGAACGTTAGCAGGCATCATGCGGGGGTCCATGTAGGACTGCATCATGAGCCAGCGGGGGTCAAAGCCCATGGAGGCCAGGTGCTGGTGGTGGGGGCCAACAGGTGGATACATGGAGCGGTGTTGTTGTGGAGCTGCAACGCCGGCGCTGCCACCTGAGGGAGAAACCGAGCCTCCACCCTGGTGCTGCTGCTGCTGCCACTGCTGCTGCTTCATCTGCTCCTACAAGACCAACAGGAACCCAGCATCAATCAATCGAGACCAATAAAAGATCAACGGCTTCTTATTGTAGACGAGTCCGTTCGGCTGATATTTGAACCCTGAAGAGGAATCTACTCTGAGGTCAACGCGTCCTCTGGAGATCCAACCAGGCGCCGTTTATTGGAGAGACAAACAAACATCACAACGATAGAAGCGGCTGTTTGTTGCTCACCTGCTGCCGGAGGAAACGAGGCGGCAGAGACTTCTGGAACTGTTTGGAATATCCCGCCGTGAGCGACGGACGCAGAGCGGCGGCCGCTTCTCCCTCGAGCTGCGGCGGCGCCATGGGGGCGTCTTCCCCGCCCGGGGGGTCCGCGGGAGGCGGGGGCAGGCGGGGCTCGTCCACTGCGGGACAACAGAACAAAGGGCGTCAGTGAGCGAAGGCGGGCCGCCGGCGCTCCCTGCACAGCGAGCACTCACCGCGCTCCTCCTCCAGGGTGAAGTAGTCTCGGATCGATACGGAGGTCTCGTCCACCTGGTTCTCCTCCGTCGGGGGGCCCACCTCCACCGAGGGGCTCCCCCCATCCGCCTGGGGCTCCGCAGCTACGACCACGGGTCTCAGGACGGGGGGGCTGGGCTGACGAGGAGGCTCTTCCTCCTTCACCAGCGCCTCCTCCATCACCTCCACCTCGGGGACACTTGGTTCTGGTTCTGGTTCTGCTCCCTCCTCCTCCTCCTCCTCCCCCCTCCCCTCAGGTAGTGGAGCTTCCGTGGTCGGGACCAGTGGCAGCGGCGCTGGGACCGGCGGCAGAGGACTGGGAGCGGAGGCCGAGGAGGAGGACTCCTCTTGGGCCGCTCCGTCTTCTTCGTTGGTGGCCTGAGGGGGAGGGGACTTGCTCTCATTGGCCTGCCGGTGTTTTTCGTTGAGACGTTTGAGTTTTTCAGCGCAAGCGGCAAGTCGCTGCTCGTCCATCCGCCGCTCCTCCTCTTCCCTCCGCCGCCTCGCTCGCTCCACGGCCTCTGAGACCTCTTGTGGCTTCTTGCGCTTCTGCCGCCAGGCTTCCGGGTCCTCGTCAGTCCCGGACGCCGCCGCCGCCGGTGGTGGTTTGGTGGCGCGTTGGGCTCCGCCCCCGACTGAGCGACCGCCACCCTGGAGAAGCGGACTCGTCACATTGTGTCGCATCGACTGGGCACACGGGTGAAGGGGGGCTGGTGTGACGCATACCTGATGGTCCTGGGGGGCGGACAACTTGCTGAAATGCCCCGCCCCGCCAGGCGAAGGCGCCCTGGCACCGCCGTCGGCCCACAAGGCTTTAGCGCCACCGCGGTCCTCGGCGCCCTCCAGCCCGTCGGGGGGGCGAGCGTGTGTCCGCTCCCTGGGGAGAAAACATCAGAGGTTGTTTGAGACGTCGTTAATCGCGACTCGACCGCCACGTTAAACCGGTTTGTTTCATTCTGGTTTCTCGATTGACGCAAATCAAACGTTTAACGGGGAACGAATGAAGCATCAGGACTCACCAGTTCTCCCTCTTCTCCTTCGCTGCGTGTTCCTCGTCGTCGCTGAAGTTCAGCTTCTCCGTGTAGTCCACCTCCATCTGGGCTCCTGGGGGGCAAAAGGAGGAGTCCGTGAGATACCCGGGCTGACCTTTTAGTGCTGGAGGTCATAGGTCACGGCCACTGACCCGCCCAGCCCTCATCGGTGTCCGTGTCCAGGTTGTCCAGCTCTTTCAGCTCTGTTGCGCTGATGATGGAGGGTCTGTCGGGGTCCTGGTGCCAGGACTGAGGGGGGGCCTGCTGGGTCCGCACCGGACGAGGACCCCTGACCATCCAGCGCGCGAGAAAGGAGGAAGTTTGTTATAGCATCCGGCCTCAGACGAGACTCATTCACGTTTGTACCGATATTGACGATGTCGAACTTCTGTTGAATGTTTCAACAAACAGTAAAAATAAGCTTGAGAGTAGCTTCATTCTGGAACAACTCACTTGGCTCCGTCTTGGGGTGACGGGTACCTGAGGCTTCCCTGCCCCGGGGCAAAGGTCATCTGAGGGTACGCGTGGAACATCTGCGAGACAAAGAGGGCGATGGCCGTCAAGAGGAGAACCGGCGTGCGCCTGCGGCGTGGCGGCGTGGCGACGGACTCACGTAGGGAGGCATCATGCTCCTGAACGCAGGGTCGAAGTGCGTCGGGACGCCGGCGGGAGGCTGCTGCCCCCCGTTGAGTTTGGGCTGCGCCGGGGGGGCAGAGCCGGGCACCCCTTCCTTGCCCTCGGCGGTTAGGTTGCGTCCGGCCTCCTCGGCCTCCCCTGCTGACGTGGAGGTCCCGAGGCCGGCGGCGGCCTCCTCCGGGACCTTGCCGTCAGTCTCGGGCGGGGTGGGGGCAGCCATCAGATTCCTGCCTCCGCCCTCACGCCAACTGCCCACATCTAACGGGAGAGGGGAGGAGATCATAAGCCCAGGACGTGGGGCGGACCCCCGCAAACACTGTGTGGCGTGCGCGGCCGTACTTTGAGGTCGGAGGCTGGGGCCCGGTCCATAAGGCTCCTCCTCCGGCTCCTCCCCCTTCTCCGCCTCGCCGGCAGCCTGCAGGCTGGGGAACTCCTGTTGAAAATGGCTGCTGACGCGAGGAGCACCTGTAGAGCACACGGAGCCCAACGGAACGTGACAGAGGAACTAACTGGCTGCAAATGTGTGTTGTTGCTATAACGGGAACATTAGCCCCCCCCCCCGGGCCCCCGAACCCAGATCCCAGGCTATAAAGGTCCGGTCTCCTGAAGAGAAGTGGACCGTGGACCGGATGCTGCTTACCTTCCGGCTGCGGCGGCTTGCTGCTGGCCCAGGAGCGGCCGCCCCCCACAGAAGGCTCTGGTGGCGGAGGCACTGGTGGTTTGGTCTGGGGTGGGGGGGGCGTCTCCTGTTGCCTGTGGAAAAACAGGCCGTTCACACTTTTACCATCGGAACGCTTCTAAATTCTTCACAAGAATCAAACGTTTAGTTATTTTTAAGTTGGTTTTCTGATAATTCATTAAATACATTCATACGCAAGTCAAATATTTGATTGATTAATGAGTATTTTGTTGTTGATGAAATAAAATGGTGGATCTAAAGAGGAAGAGTCGCCGTCAGTGACCGGCTGACGGAAGCGAGCGAAGGCACGCGGCTTTACCTCTCCTCGCCTCCCTCGGGTCGGGACGCCCAGCCGCTCCCGTCTTTGGGGACGATGTTGACGTTGGGGTCGTTTCCCTTGTTCTCGGCCTTCAGGCTGGGCAGGTTGGCTGGGGGGGGCATGCGCCGGCTGGAAGCCACTTTGCCCAGACTTTGGAGCCCATGTCTGGCAGCCACTGGGAGAAGCAGCATTTTTCAACAACAGTTCAACTGAACTCAATGGAGAGATGTTTAGTGTTTCTATACGATAGCAGAGGGGGGGGGGGGGGTACCTGCAGTTTTCTGGGTTTCCAGAGACTTGCCCTTGTAGGTGTTGAAGAGGCTAAGGGTTGCATACTTGGTTTTGCCATCCTTTGCCTTGGTGCTTTGCCCTGACTTCTCGGACATGACGCTGGAAACTCATTGAGTCTGGTCCTCTGGCCGCGCCCCCAGAACCAGCCTCCTGTGGACCAGAAGCAGAGAAGAACCGCTGAGGAGGTTGTCGGATCAGTGAACCTCCCCCGAAGACTCGTTCAAATGATTTTAATGAGGTCGAAGACAGCGAGTCACCGTGGGCAGCGAAAGGAGACCATTTAATTACCTTTTACCAACAAGTGTAAACTTGTCAAAACACTAATTAGAAGCCTGCACACACACAAGCAATGAGTCTAGACCCAACGGCATGTGATGGGTCCTCCAGCGACAAAGAGGTTGGGGGGGTGAGGGGAGGTGAGGGGGGGTGAGGGGGGGCGCTAGCTCCCAGAAGAGGTGGCACAGCAACACACGGCGGAAGTGAATTACAGTGAACTGTGGCACCGGGAAACAGCATGTTTGGGGGTGCAGTGTCTTTGTATGTGACAGAGAGGTCGTTTATTATTGACAGAGCCGTGTGTGTGTGTGTGTGTGTGTGTGTGTGGAGGGGGAGGTGACACTCTGATGAGCTCAGGCTCTGTGATACTGGAACCTCCAATTCAATCAGAGGCTCCTTTCAGTAAAATAGTTTAGCTGGTGGAATAAGAGGCAGCCATGATCACTACTTTAGTCCTCCGGTGTTTTCACCTCAGAGTCATCAGCTGATAAGAACACAGCAAATGGCTTCAGACTGATTGAGTGACTGCAGAGGGCTCGTAGGCAGAACACACACAGACAACACATGTTCACCACGACTGCTGCAAGGTTCCTCTACTGGGAACATTTGAAATCCTTCAAAGTTAAAGATGGGACATTAAGATCACAGACTTTTCTTCTTTCCTGAAGTCTTTGTGCTTTCACTCCCCACACGTTTCTGTGGATGGTGGTTCTACGTGATGGTGGTGGTCCCTGCAGTGCGCCTGGCTAACTATTCACAATTATTTGAATCATCTCTGTCATATGAATTGAAGGTATTATACATCTTTTACGGATCTCACTGAGGTTTCTTCCCTTTTCTCCCCATGGAGGGTTTTCATTGTTTGGGGAGTGTTTCCTGTGCTGAGGGTTTCATGTGTGTACAGACTGTAAAGCCCTCTGAGGCACATTTGTAATTTGCAATTTTGGGCTATAGGAAATAAAATGATTCTGTGTTAAATCACAATACGTAAGTAATTGGTTTCTGTTTTTTCTTGAATTCATTATGAGACGCCACAAAAACATTTGCTGATCAGATCACTGACATGCCAATTAATAAGGACTCCCCCCAAAACTAGTCAGATCACCTCTCTCACACACACACACACACACACACACACACACACACACACACACACAAATAGAATCATTTAAACATTTTCACACCATCAATGCAGCCGGGCTCCCAAATGTGCCGGTTAAAATACACAACAGATGTGCTCCTTAAAATGAAGACTCACTGGGAAACCAGTGCGGTTCTGAAGAGCAGCCGTGATGAAAAGAATAAACTGACCGGATGTCCTGCCGGTGACACGTAAATGTGTGGTTTGAGTGGACCGGTGACCGGCGGTCTGCAGGCCACCGGGCTCCACGAAGCGGACTACAGCGGTGTGCTGGGTGGCTCCCGGGCGGCGAGCAGAGGCCCACTCGCCGCTCCGCGAGGACGCTTCTCACGATCATCGATAACAATCAATACCACATTTTAAATGCGGAACGAAAACAATGGCGTGCGCAGGCCGCCCTCGTTTCCCAGTTTCGTTTCTCGCTGGTCGCCATCACTTCCAGACCCGGTGGCCGAGGCGAGCTAACAGAGCTAGCCCGGTGCTAACAGCAACACATCCTCCCAGCACATAAACTCCCGACACGTTTCCCCCGTGTGACACGAACACTCACCTGCCGCCGGTGCCTTTTCTTCTTCTTTGGCTCAACTTGAAATCCGGCGTCGGCCCGGTTCGCGGTGGACAAACGCGCGCGCGCGCGTGTGCGTGCGGACGTGCGTGCGTATGCGTCCGGCCGGTGGCTCGCAGAAGCTAGCTGGCTAGCCTGCTAGCCCGGTTCGGTTGCTAACGATGGTTAGCTACGTTGCAAGTCGGCTGGCCAACAAACCGCTCCACCGCGTGCACGGCCGCTGGTTTTTAATGTCTCCGGTGCGGGTTCGAGCCACCCGGTTCTGTGCTCGTTTGCTCGGCCGTTACTGTGGGAACCGGTACGCGGTCGTCCGGTGGTTCCTTGTCTATCCGCGCCCGTTATCTCGTGTCACACCGCTTTCCCCCAGTAGTGTGTGTGAGGCCCCGCTCGCGCCGCGGCCTGTCTCACAATCAAAGATGGCCGACGTTGGTTGCCAGATTTATCATCTCATCCCCCCTTCTCGTACCCGACCCCCGACATGCGAGCCGCGATCAGCAGTCACACGGAACATTACACACGATCATCTTTCTTTACAATAAAACTATTCTACTATCTTACTATGAAAGCAACCGTTTACAGTATGTATTACTTAGTGTATCGTTCTATGTATTTGCATTGTATTGTATCTGCACGCCCCTATATGTGTGTTATAGCAAACTCATTACCCACTAATAAAAGCCTACTAAATAAATCTGATGATGATTCTGATTCAATCATTTGTAGATCTGCTGTGTCGGCAGTTATTTAAGTAACAAAACGATACTTTCTGTTAAGGATAGAAAACATACATCAACAACAAAGATTTAAAAGGTGTATTGAAACAGCAAAAACGAGCAAACTGCTTATCCTGCACACAGGGGGGCTGGAGTCTGTCCCAGACGAGAGACGGGGTCCACCTTGGACTGATCACAGGCCTACACAGAGACACACAACCATTCACATTCACATCCGCACACCTACGGGAATGGTAAATGGTAAATGGCCTGTACTTGTATAGCGCTTTTCTATTCTTCTGACCACTCAAAGCGCTTTAACACTACATGACATCATTCACCCCCATTCATACACTGATGACATCATTCACCCATTCACCCCCATTCATACACTGATGACATCATTCACCCATTCACCCCCATTCATACACTGATGACATCATTCACCCATTCACCCCCATTCATACACTGATGACAGGAGAACCACACACAGTGACACCTGCCCATCAGTCACTAACATTCACACACACAGTCACAGCTACAGGAGCAATGTTGGGTTAAGTGTCTTGCTCAAGGACACAACGGCATGCGGGTTAGCAGAGCCTGGGATCGAACCGACCCTCTGATTGGAGGACGACCTGCTCCCCACTCACCCACAGACGCCTGGCAATTAAAGAGTCACCAATGAACCCGAGATTAACACGGAAACCCCAAACCTGGCAACCCGAATGCCAACATTCACGCGTGGACGATTCTGTTTCCGGGGTGTGACGAGAGGCGGCGAGTTCAAAGTCTGATGATTGATCGGTAAATGTCATTCACATCCGTCTTTCAGAACATCTACTACTTTCTCTATTTTTACAAGCCGAAGCACAATAATGAAGTGATTGATGGAGATGTAACTTATTGCTATTGACGATACGGTCAATGTGTGATCATCACATCTTATCTCGGTGTCTGCCGCTCTCATTTTCCTTAACTTTTGTAAAACAAAGAAAAATCCACCATGAAACAATAATTGTACAACAAAACCATTTTCCATCATTGCTGTTGGACTCAGAGGCAGCGAGGCAGCAAGCTGCCGTTAGGTGGCATTAATGATCACCGTCATCAGTCTGGATCCATTTGATCTTTAACTGTGTTTGAGGGAGATTTTAAAGGACTTCTACTTACTTCCTTTTGTCTAATGTTTAATCAAACACAAAGAAATAATACGCTGTTGTTAATACGCTGCAAGACAAGGACTTCGTAACCTCCAAAAGTCATATATAGGAAACATGTTGATGTCATTGTGTTGAAATAATTCCTCATGAACAGTGAAATAGAAATATGGACAAGAATATGTCTTATTTATTCAAACAGAATTTAACACAGTGATAATAGATCGGACACGTGCACAACATCTGTGCACGTGGAATCAATGAGGAGACTTATCGATAATATACTTTGATTATGACAAAAATGATGAGGATGAAATGGAAAATGCAGTCGCAAAGGTGACTCAGCTGCATGTTTAGGAATGCTTGAGACGTGGGACACAGGACATGGGACCTGGGACCTGGGACCTGGGACCTGGGATCTGGGATCTGGGATCTGGGACCTGGGACATGGGACCTGGGATCTGGGACCTGGGACATGGGACCTGGGACCTGGAGCAGCCATGTCTCACCCTCTCCGCCATGCGCCACCGTCGATTAAAAGAAGCCCGCGGCTTTGACGTGGTCAGACAGGGCAGTGGGATCCTGCAGGAAAGCAGCCAGCTTGTTCCTGTTGACGTAGGCGGCCACGCACACAGCGGCCAGAACCAGGGGCCCCATCAAGGACCTCCCGGGCTTGGGGTCCTCACAGGGTCTGGTCTGCATGGGTCGGGCCACCCTCTCCCACTGAGTGAGGATGGCCTGACGGGCTCCGGGCCACTTCCCCGGCCCCCTGAGGCGGTACTGGTACGGCGTGCAGGGGCCGAGCATCAAGTTGAGTCCCAGCCGGGGGTCGGTCAGCAGCAGCCTCAGGGGGCTGGGTCGAGCCCCCACCAGCTCTGCTAGCTCGTCCATGTAGGGGACGTAGTCCACCTGGATGGTGTGTCTCTGACTGGTAACGTACCTGAAAGAGAGACACCACATTGTGCGTCACAAGATCCGGAGCCTCTCCGACCCCGAACAGATGAAGGGTACTACCTCCGAGCCATCGCCTCCTGCTTGCACCGGACATCCTGCAGCATGGAAGCCAGCGAGGGCAGCTTGATGCAGCCTGTTGGTGACCAGCGCTACGGTGAGGGACGGCCTACATCCAGAGTGGTGCTGTGACGGAGGGAGCTGCTCTCCGCTGCTCACCTTTAAAGACGCGCGTGGCCCACCGGGCCTGCATCTCGGCGATGGGCATGACGGCGCCCAGCGGCTGCACCAGGCCGACGACAGCCAGCGTGGGGCGCTCTAACTCAGGAGGGAACACGTACTTGTACAGAGCGGCTTTGTTCTCCGACACAGAGACCACGTGCGAGGCCAGGAAGGGGAAGGAGAACCTGTAACCTGTGGCAAACACCTGCGAGACAGGGGGGGACTCTCAGCCTCGCACACAGCGCCCCCCCCACCCCGGCTCTCCGATACTCAAACCTACCACCAGGTCCACATCCTCCGCCACGCTGCCGTCGTCAAACTCCACCCTGGAGCCCAGGAACCTGCGGACGTCGGGCTTCACCTGGACGGTTCCCGACAGGATGCGGTTGGGGAGCTCGTCGTTCACCGTGGGGTGTTGGCTGAACAACCTGACATCGGTGACCACACTGCTTATTTATGTCTCAACTATGGCAAAGCAACGAGAATCACCACGCTGCGCGTGGGGCGGAGGTACAGGAGGGCTACAGCGGCGTCCCTGTGTCTACATGCAGGCGCTCTGGATCAGAGGAATATGTGCAGGTGTGCGTGTGCCGTGGTTTCATGTTTTCATCTGGCCGTGTTTGTCCAGTCGTTCAAGCGCATGCACTCATTCATCCGGCTCGATGGGTGCTGCTGTTTGTTCTGTCTGTTTGTTCTGTTATGAGCACTTTTGTGGCTCGAGTTGAACGTTTTGCTCGGGTTTGTCATTCGTGAGGTTTGAGAACAACGCGCGTGTGAAGGTTTTCTGTGCAGAAAGGCGACTGTGAGTCGTGTGGGACAGACGGACTCAGTGCTTCCTGCTGACGATGTGATTCAGAGTCAAGCTGTGAGGTCAGGGTGTGAAAGCGTACCTGTGTTTGGGCTTCAGGTTGTACAGCGCGTGATCGAACCGTTGGTTGACCTGTTTCTCCACCAGACTGCTGATCAGGCTACTGGGAACCAGGTTCTGCACGTAGGTGAAGAGCCGGGGAAGCTGCATATCCAGAGGAAGCCCCGAGTCTCCTACTCGGTTGAGGATCCAGGCTCCTCTGCGGGTGCTCAGGTACAGCTGGGAACATTACCATGACTCATATCAACACACACAGAGCTAGGGTTCAAAAAGTGCCTGTACATGATCGATCATGTTTTCAGGTGAATTCATCTTGCAGACCGATTGTCTACCAGCTGCTCTGAGGACGCGTTTATTTAGACGTGTCCTCAAAGGGACTCATCCAGACCTGCTTGGTGACTCGACTCAACTCCACCGCGATGTCCCCTCCAGAGTTTCCTATTCCGACCACCACCACCCTTTTGTTCCTCCACTGCTCGGGCGTCTTGTAGTCCCGGCTGTGGAAGAACTTTCCTGTGAAGGAGTCGATTCCTGGGGGAGTAAAAGGCCAAACAGCTTCCTGATGTGTACGTGTGGTGGACATTAAACTTTGCCCGTAGAATGTCAACTAGAGCAAAGAGGAGGAAATGGAACGTTCTTTCTAGCAGAGGTGCAGCTTTCTGTTGATAAAGGATTACATAAGCACATTGTACAGCGCGGCCATCAGAGGGTCAAAGGGTTTCCCCTCCCAGCGCTTTGTACCTGCCAACAGGGAGGCGTGAGGAACACCAACCGGTACCTGGGAAGTCCTGCAGCGGCAGGTGGGGGTGGCAGTGATGTCCGATGCAGATCATCACCGCGTCGAAAATGTGTTTCTCCAGCTGGCCGTCCCTGTTCTGCGTTTCGACGTCCCACTGGCCCGAGCGAGAGAAGTCCGATCGCTGCTTCACCGCAAGGACCGTGGTCTGAGGGAAGCAGAGGCCGGCACGGGACGCTTACTGACAGCAGCACGACGAGCAAACTCACCACGGATCCGTATGTCACAGGTCGGGCGGAGGGGAGGAGACCAGGGGAAGCGTCCTCACATTGAAGCGGATGTGCTCAGACAGCTGGAAGTGGTCCGCGTAGCTCCGGAAGTAGTCCATGATGAGGGAGTTGTGCATGTAGTTGGGGTAGTGTGCCGGGATGGGGAAGTCACTGAAACACATCATCTCCTTGGAGGTGTTGATGATGACGGAGTGGTAGATGCTGGCTCTGTCGGCCTCCGGATTCTCCTGCAGCAACAGGCGGGAGGAAGAAGAGTCACACTCGCGGCCTCACGGTCTACATGAGCTGCAGAAGGTGGAGCTGGACCCACTTTGAACCTCCACAGACCCCCGATGTCGTCGCTGCTCTCGAAGCAGACGGGCTGCAGCCCCTCATCCAGACAGCACTTGATGCAGGCCAGACCTGAGCTCCCGCCCCCGACCACGGCCACGCGGCGAGTCATCTCAGCTCTGTGGAGGACCAGGAGGCTTCACATGCAGACATGGAGATGCATTCACAGAGACGCACGACTGGAATGTGCTCTTACACGTATAATACATGCAGCAATAGTAACAGAAATGTGATAAGAGACGGAGCATGAACGGGAGTTTGTGTTTGCATTTCAGACTCCTAAAGCCCACAAAACCCTGCAGATTTTGGAACATAGAAGATGCACATCACACAATTACACAGCTGTTTAAAGGGTAACTGTCTATCTCATGTGTGAGAGGTGGAGGGGCCATATATGCCTGTTCCCACGAGGCATCTTTGGGTGGAGCGCGAATTGGTTTAAACTTTTTCTCAAAACGTCTACTTTTGGACCACACTTCGTCCTCTCTTGTGTGCCACATCGTTTTAGAGGTTTAAAAAGAGACAACGTCTATATTTGTAAGTTTACCACTACAGCCCATGTGTCTATGTGTGGGAAGCACGGAAACTTACATGTTACATACTTAGTCACAGTTGTTAACAGCCCTTAACAAGGACAAACACATTATTTTAATAATTTGTATTTATTAATAGAAATAACAACACTACACATATAAAAGTTAAAAATACAATCAAAATAGAAAAATAAAATATATTACAGGGAAATAAACTATAGAATTAAAAGTGCAGAAACAACATGGACAAGTTAAACAACAAGTTAGTTTAGAATTCTGTGTGAAATCTTCATTTTCAGATTCTGTGACAAGTTCTCACTAGATTCTTTGTGTAAAGGTCCAGATGTGCAGCACCCCTCCATTGCAGATTCCTGTGGTCAACCTGTTTGTTCAATTCAAATCATTTATTTTGTTCAGATTTCCAGTCTGTAAACATGTAAAAAGTAAGTAATATTGTAGTACTAGTAGTAATATGGCTTTAAGCCCTCTTGTTTACAGACCACAACTTGTCTGTATTTTGCCCCCGTTGCTTTAAATGCTTTATTTTCGATGTGAAATGGGAAAAGGAATAATAATATGTTGCTAGAGCGACACCAAACACACGGAACTATTGTGGGACGTTTACTTTTGCTCCAGGTCAGCATGCTGAACGCTAGCGAGCTACCCGAACTCGCGCATGCGCGTTACAGATGTGGGCGGAGTCACGTGTTTACAAGTAACTTTGAAACTGTCCTGATAGCATCTTGTTAGCAGCCACAGTCCGTAGTCCCATATTTATTACGCTTTAAGAGAGATAATAAATACGTTGTAATCACGTCTTTCCGTAGACCACATTTCGCCGACCAGTTCATTAATTATTATGAACATTTTAATATTGTCTCTCTTTCTATGTTTTATCCACTTATCGGCCGGTTGAAAAGAGGTCTTCATTTCAACGTTGACAGCTCAATAAAGCTTTTATAAAGCGACGTATCGCTTTATTAAAATGAATATAATAAAATGCTCAACACAACGCGCGTTCACAGCTCGATGTTTCCAAATAAACCCGATTGAGGAGTGACGTCACATATTTACGTTGCGTCACGGAAGACACAATTAATCTTTACAGCATTAGAAGTTGGTTTCCTCCTCTCCGTATTTCGAGACTGAATGACGTCACACGTTCACCGTGAGATTCCGGTTCACCGCGACTCTCGTCTCCCGTGTCGGTTCTTACCTTTTCAGACTCCGACAAGAAGAAGAAGAAGAGGGGGACGGAAGAGGAGGGGGACGTGTTTGTGTGCGAGAGGGCGGGGTCAGCGCGAGGGGCGGGGCACACACGTTGTTTTAACTTTCACCGGATGACGTCAGCGTTCAGCTGGAACTGGTGCCAAAGAAACAACAAAAAACTGCGTCTACGAGACAGAGGGACAGACAGAGACAGGCAGAGACAGAGACAGACAGAGACAGAGACAGAGAGACAGACAGAGACAGGCAGAGACAGAGACAGACAGAGACAGAGACAGAGAGACAGACAGAGACAGGCAGAGACAGAGACAGACAGAGACAGAGACAGAGAGACAGACAGAGACAGAGGGACAGACAGAGACAGAGAGACAGACAGAGACAGACAGAGACAGAGGGACAGACAGAGACAGACAGAGACAGAGGGACAGACAGACAGAGACAGACAGACAGAGAGACAGACAGACAGAGAGACAGACAGAGACAGAGGGACAGACAGAAACAGAGGGACAGACAGACAGAGACAGAGACACAGACAGAGACAGAGGGACTCAGAGAGGAATGGACTTACACTATGAATCAACAAGTGAACAAGAAGTACTTGAATAAAAGGAAAGACGTTTCCTCGCTGTGTATTTGAGTATTATTGTTTGAACAATGAAAGATGTTATTTCTGGACACAATAACTCTATTGGTGATGCTGACGGGTAACTGCAGAGAGACTTCACGTCTCCCGTCCCAGACTACAGACACACCTCTTCACACTCGACCTCCACTAACACACTAACTGGAGGACTTACACTGGACTTCTAACGCCACTCATCTACAGCAAGTTGTACATCGGCTTATTTGATGAAATCACACTTTCTTGTTTCTTGTTCCTCTGGGTTTGTGTCCTTATGGTTGAAATGTTCTTATTGTAAGACGCTTTGGATAAAAGCGTCAGATAAATGACGTGTGATGTGATGTGATGTAACTGGGTGCCACGTTGGGTGAAATGCTCATTTTATTCCCAGGAGATCGGAGCACCTTCACTGTGGACACCAGAACACGATCGGTTATAAATACCTTTTTTAATTGTTGCATTTTGACTGTGAAACGTTCCTTTCATCGGCTTAACTTTGATTCCATGTCCAGGCTGTCAGCTTACTGTGTGTGTTACATGGCGGCTCGGTGGTCTGCGGGTCAACAGGAAGTGGCTCCTGCACAGACCCCCCCTCCCTCACGGTGGCCCTGAGCTCTGAGGGAAACGTCAAAGGCCCCCCAGCTCGGCCCCCCGGACCACTTCGCCAGTGTTACAGAAAGACGCATTCCTGATCAGTCCACTGGCGGTCAGACTACTGCGGGAGTGAGAGGAAGTCATGGAGGCGCTCACAGCTACTTCGCAATCAGCCCGTGGGGCTCTACCCCCCCCCCCCCCCCTTGACTCGAATGAATGAAAAAGAAAAGGTTGATAAACGTGTTTGTTGATTGATAAAATGTCACAAAACACCATTAGGGTGAGACTCATTTTCCAGCCTCAACAGAAGGAACGGAGATACCGGACGGGATGTTTCCTTTTAACAGAACACCGTTTCTATTGACACTTTTAGGAAGAATGTGAAATAGAATTGCTTTTATTATCCAGTCAGCAGCAGTAAGGGAACAAATAAATGGTACAATCAAATCAAAATGAAGAAGATAATGGCTAAGACGTAACTCCATGCTTTAGTAAGTAGCATTAGAGGGCTCGAACTCTAGAACTATGGTAACTTTTCAAAAGTATATTCAATGTTTTTTGCTGTTAAATATGTTTGCACTTGTTGCATTGATCCAATTTTATGTTATCAAAAATGGGCTTAGTGTTAAATGTGTTAGACGTTGCTTTCCTTTTAATAAAAGCATATTATTGAAAGGCTCTCTTATCTTTCTACCAATTTCATTTGTTTCTTCTTTAAATGTATTGTTTTTAAATCATTTAACTTTAGCAGCGTCATACTGTAAATATACGGTTCATGGGCGTTACGGTAGGAACACTAAAATAACAGCATAATGCTGTTTTTATACTGGTTCCCTCCTGGAGAGGAAGACAGCCATCACGGCTCCGGCCAACACAAGCATCCAGCGCCAGGGGGGGAACCGGGCCGGTCCGTCCTCCGGTCCTGGTACCGGCCTGGTCCTGAATGGCCGAGCCACCCGCTCCCACTGAGTGAGGATGGCCTGACGGGCCCCGGCCCACCGCCCGGGCCCCCTGAGACGGTACTGGTACGGCGTGCAGGGGCCGAAGAAGACCCTGACCCAGAGTCCCGGGTCCGTCAGGAGCAGCTTCAGAAGGTCGGGTCGCACGCCGACCTGCGAGAGGAAGTCTGTCAGTGTGGTTCCGAAAGGTACCAGGAGTTTATGTAGAGCTGCACTGACCTCCTCAGCCATGAAGTCCAGGTACGGGATGTAGTCCACCTGCAGAGCCGCCTTCCGGGGGCAGGGATCGCTGAGGTCATCTTCTCCACAAACTGAAGCCACTCTGCCTGAACGATGGGTGTTCGGCGATGAAGGAGCGGCCCACCTCTTCATGTTCCTCCTCTTCTCACACTGAACGACCTCCAGCATCTCCTCCTCCGGGGGCAGGCGGCTCACACCTTTAGAGAAGGAACACAGCGGACTGAGTCACGAGCTCCTCAGCGGGGCGGCGTCATTTGGAGACGCTTACCGGAGAAAACCTTCACGGCCCAGCGCGCCTGCATCTCCACCAGCGGCAGGATGGGCCCTTTGGTCTGGAAGATCCCAGTCACGGCCAGAGTGGGTGGAGAGAGAGATGGAGGGAACAGAGACCTGGAAGTTCAGAACGCCTGCGTTGATCCTCCACACCAGAAAATACATCAACTGAGAAGATCAGACCATTACTCCAATAAGCAGTGACACCACACATGTCATTCTGGCTTCAGTCAAAACCGTATGAAATGAATGTATTTATTTATTAATGTGTTGGATGGAATTTTAAAAAATCATTTCAAAGAATAGTTTCTGAGATGAGACAATTGTTCTTTGTCAGTAAATCTTAATATGGAGAATACATTGGCTACAGAGTCCTGACCCACTTGTATAGAACCAGGTCTTCATTGGGCCCCCCGGACAGAGCTGGGGGCAAGAACGGGAAGTTTCCATCATAACCAGTACAGAAAACCACAGTATCGATGTTCTCCTCCACGCTGCCGTCTTCAAACCGGACCCCCGACTGGGTGAATCCTCTGAGGTGCGCTCTCATCTGCAGGGCCCCCTGGAGGATCCGACCCGGGAGGTCGTCGTTGATCAAAGGCCTTCGGTCCAAAATTCTGACGGATGCCAAAAAAAAGATCCAAACGGTTCCTCTTATTTCAGTTTTGACTTGATGTAGTTACTTATATGAGTTTAATATGTTAAACATATGAACCAACTGGGTCGCCTCCCACTGGATGTTGTAAGGACACAACCGACTGGTAGGAGACCCGGAATACGCTGGAGGGATTGGATCTCTAGGCTGGCCTGGGAAAGCCTTGCGACCCCCCCAGAATGAGTCTGAGTCAACCCGCGTTTAACCGTAACACCTGTGGGATGAAATAGTGTCTATCAGTCCGTATCATATCTAGGTCACCTGTGCCGGGGCTCCAGGCCGTACAGCCTGTGGTCGTATCTGCCGTTGAGTTCTCTCTCCACCGTCCAGTTGAGCAGAGATTCGGGGAGAAGCTGCATGAGGGTGTTGTTGAGTCTGGTGATGAGGGTCATGTCAAAGGGAAGACCCCCACGGGACATGCGGCCCATTACCCAGGAGCCCCGGCGCGTGCTGAGGAACGTCTGGGAGAAAGAGCAGAGCGACGGCATGTGAGGGGATTTGAGATGTGAAGCAACATCATCCTCACACCTGAAGAAGTCAACTGTAGATGCTGAGGACGTTCCTAACATTCCAGACGTGCTCTCCTCAAAGTGTGATCATTAAAACCTGTGACACATTTCTAGTATTGCTCTTTTCTGAAGAGTGATTTAAGCTTGCTGCATCCTCGAGGGTCACTAGTGACGCATCCAACATTGTGGAACTACGAACTTTTAGGGAAGAGGAACTTGTCAGAATGTCGAGCTTTCTAGATCAGCTGATGTCTGAGGAAAGCAGGTTGACCTGCTCTGCAGATCGACTGATCTCCACCGCAATGTCTCCTCCAGAATTGCCGATCCCGACCACTACCACCCTCTTTCCTCTGAAGGCGTCTCCGTCCTTGTAATCCCAGCTGTGCAGACACCGACCAGAGAACGTCTCGTACCCTGCGGAGTTGCAGAGATGCAGAGATGCAGAGATGCAGAGTTGTAGAGATGCAGAGATACAGAGTTGTAGAGATGTAGAGATGCAGAGATGCAGAGATGCAGAGTTGTAGAGATGCAGAGATACAGAGTTGTAGAGATGTAGAGATGCAGAGATGCAGAGATGCAGAGTTGTAGAGATGCAGAGTTGCAGAGTTGCAGAGATGTAGAGATGTAGAGATGTAGAGATGCAGAGATGCAGAGTTGTAGAGATGCAGAGATGTAGAGATGTAGAGATGCAGAGATGCAGAGTTGTAGAGATGCAGACGGATTGGACCCTGTGAGGTTTGTGAAGTCACTTTACACTTTAAAGGGCCGTCTCTCCGCTCACTGACCTGGAAGGTGTAGCAGCGGTGAGGCCGGATGGGTGTAGTGACCTGAACACACCAGCACGGCATCGAAAACGTGACCCTCCTCCTCTCCGTCCCTGCTGGTCACAACGTCCCACTGACCCGACGTACAGAAATCTGGCCTCTGTTTGACGCTCTTCACCGTGGTCTGAAGTCACACACACATACATGAGTGACCTCTAACCTCACTCTGCAGAGTTGGAGGCGCCCGGGTGCAGCACCTGGAAGCGGACGTGTCGGAGCAGCTGGAAGCGCTCGGCGTAGAGGCGGAGGTACTCCAGCAGCCGGGGGTGGTGCATGAAGTTGGGGTAGTCGGCAGGCATCGGGAAGTCGCTGAAACACATCATCTCCTTGGAGGTGTTGACCACCAGGGAGCGATAGATGCTGGAGCGCTGGGGCACTGGAGCCTCCTGAGGAGAACAACCCCCACGGCCACATCTTTCTTCATAAGAATACTAGAATTGTTCTACATTTGCTGGGAAGCTCATCATACTTACATACATATATTCACTATTCGGGGTTCATACACTTTTTACTATAACCGTACGAACCCTGACTGTTATTACTTACCTTAAAGTTCCAGAGGCCTCCGATGTCGTCGCTGCTTTCGAAGCAGACGGGCTCCAGGCCGTCCTCCACGCAAGCCTTTATGCTTGTGAGACCAGAACCGCCGGCTCCAACAACCGCCACACGAAGAACCATCGCTGCGACAACGACACAGTAATCACATATGATTTAGACCTGCATGCAGCCCCCAAAGACGGAGCCCATCCAGCCCAAAGACTCCCTTGTTTCCTGGGGGTTTACTTCCACTACTAATATTCAAGGCAAATGAGTCAATCGGTGGAGGTTTAGCTGGGATCAATGAAGCCGGTCATGGATCGATAGAATTCACGCTCAAATAGAACGAGGTTCATCCCGTGGGAACGTGAACCTTCGGTGGTTTCTGAGACATTTCAGTCTGAACCAAAGTCGAAAAAGGGGACGTGAGTTATAGATCCAAAGCGAGGTTATAAATGACCTGGTTTTACTACGTGTGATTATATAATAGGGTCATAAAACATGCTCAAAGCAGCTCCTCTGCACTTGAATCAGATTTTTTTGGTTTTCAAAACCAAACTGCTTAGTTAGTAAGTAGTTTATTAAGAATTTAAAAATAAACATTTGAATCATAAAATAGTTTTAATCACCTACAAACACAGACAGGTAAAGAAATCAAGCAAATATATCACATCATTGAGTATCTTCAAACCTGTAAGACAGTCTGAGGAAGTTTAAAGTTCTAAATTGCGCAATTCAAGAGTCGCCATTACTCACCTTCTGTCCGTCACGTCCTGAGCGGCTCCACCACGTGACCTCACTTGACCCGAGCTGCTGCTGATCAACCAGACTGAGGCTTTGAGTTAATGACACACAATGTTTGCTCTGCTGCAAATGTTTCATGAGGGAAAATGTTGAATAGTCCCTGAAGCCGTTTAGTCAGCGTGCTTTGATCTGAATGTCAAAGGTCAACTTCTTTTTTCTCACAGCGAGTTCGATGTTGAACATCACTGTCAGAACCAGACGCAGATAAAAACACGCTGGCGAGGATGCAGCAAGTGGCGCTAAATGATTCCAGAGCAGCCAAATGAATTCAGTGGAAAAGAAAGAACAGACCAGGAACCAAAAACCTTGTGACCAGCTGGACTCATCAGAGGGGGCGGAGCCATACGACCAAGGAACCAATGAAACACAGGAGGGCGAAAACAGGAGGGAACACAAGCAAAGACAGGAAGTGAACCAAACACTAAAGGTCGCAGGTCCAACCCGGTTTCCTAAAGGTCCTCCTAGGGGCTCAAACCCGGTTTCCTAAAGGTCCTCCTAGGGGCTCAAACCCGGTTTCCTAAAGGTCCTCCTAGGGGCTCAAACCCGGTTTCCTAAAGGTCCTCCTAGGCCCTTAAACCCGGTTTCCTAAAGGTCCTCCTAGGCCCTTAAACCCGGTTTCCTAAAGGTCCTCCTAGGGCCTTAAATCTGGTTTCCTAAAGGTCCTCCTAGGGCCTTAAACCTGGTTTCCTCAAGGTCCTCCTAGGCCCTTAAACCCGGTTTCATAAAGGTCCTCCTAGGGCCTCAAACCCGGTTTCCTAAAGGTCCTCCTAGGCCCTTAAACCCGGTTTCCTAAAGGTCCTCCTAGGGCCTCAAACCCGGTTTCCTAAAGGTCCTCCTAGGCCCTCAAACCCGGTTTCCTCAAGGTCCTCCTAGGCCCTTAAACCCGGTTTCCTAAAGGTCCTCCTAGGCCCTTAAACCCGGTTTCCTCAAGGTCCTCCTAGGCCCTTAAACCCGGTTTCCTCAGGGACTCAGTGACGTCTCCTGGTCAGTTTGTGTGATTGTCTTTAAATGATTAGGATACGAATTTATTTATAAAATTGATTTTAGACTTTTTATTTCCTGATTTGAACATCTTCAACACTCCTCATAAGAAATATGAATACTTGTTAATGATCTATTATCTGATTTCATGCATGTTCCGTCTTTCATCCTTAATATTTCTGTATATGTAATGTGACAGGGTGAACACACTGACTTATGGGTGAACCCATCTGAGGTTTGTTTGGGTGGATGCGGGGGACTGGAATTGGTTCCCAGATCATGAGTCACAGAAGGAAACTAATGAATGAATCTAATGAATCAATTTAGCATCTTGCATTTCTAGCACATGGATTCTCTTGGTCCAATCAAGCGGTTTGTGGGCGGAGCTTAGACAGCAGGGTGGTCATAGCGGCCGGGTGGCGCACGTGGACGTAGTAGATGCCCACCGCTCCAGCCACGGCGATCAGGCTCAGCTTCATCAGACGGCTGGACACTGAGGCCTTCTCCACCTCCAGCTGGAAGAGACGGGGGGACGGGGGGGACGGGGGGACGGCGGGATGGGGGGACGGGGGGACGGGGGGACGGGGGGACGGGGGTCATTAAACAACCACTTAACTCCACACAGTGCTCATAGAACCGCCGGCGGACATTCCCGACCTCTCTTGTTTTTAACGGCTTAAACATGCGGTCGAACTGGGTGAAGATCGCCCCGCGGGCCCCGGCCCACTTCCCCGGGCCCACCAGGCGGTACTGGTAGGCGGTCACCGGTCCCCACAGGATCCTCTTGAACAGCTGGTAGTCCGTGAAGAAGAGCCACAGCAGACTCGGCCGCGCCCCGACCTCTCCAGCTACCTCGTCCATGTAGGACACAAAGTCCACATGCAGCGGCGCCAGCTTGGACAGGACGTAGCTGTGGACTCGCCCAGAGGGGGACGTCACTCAGCGGCAGCGTTGGGGAGTAACGGAACACTTTACGTATTTAGAATACAGATCATGAGTAACTGTGTTCCGTTACAGTTGAAATAGATGGTATTCAGTTTACAGATTACATGACGGTGCTTCTCTGTCTCACAAGTTTATTCACTCTCTAAATACATGAAGGCAACTTGATGCATTTCCTGAATCCTCAACATGAAAATTCCCAGTAGCTGCTAACGGAGTGTGAAGAGGAGAACAGAGCAGGAAGGATTTCTGTCCTGGATATTCAATAAGCATTTAATGTTAAAGCAAGAGACGGGAGATCAGAATATAACAACCATGTGTTTGATGATTCCCTGCATATCACAGAAGAAGAGGCAATGGTGTTGTTGAGGAGCACTGGAGGTTTTACCTGTTCTCCATGTCCTTGGTGTCCTTGTCCACAGCCTTCATCATGACCTGGTTTGAAGGCAGCTTCTTGTGTCCTGAGAGCAAAAAGATACTTTGGCCCTGATGCACGTGCATTAGCAAGCGTAGCGTCATCAGCGCCATGACGCCATGACATGACGCCATGACACCTGCAGATAGCTGTGACACTCCCACTATAGCGCACAGTGCGATCATTTGATCAAGATTCAGTGCTGCAGCAAAGACTGAGATGTTCCCACTGATCCTGATCCAATAACTGTAACGTGGTGAGCAGGACTGGAATGTGAGCGCTGCGTCAGAGAGGCGACGTCACCTTTGGTTTCTTCCAGTAATATAAGTGATATTGCTGCTTCATCTGTAACCTGTAACGATTTTGTGTTCACTCAACTGAAAAAGTGTGACGCTCGTGTTAAAATCCCCGGACCACTGCTGCCATTTCACCCGCCGGTTTGTACATAATTAGCCCCCCTTTACGCATCCCCTCCCACCCCTTCCCCTTGACCCCCCCTGCATATGCATGACACGGAAGCCCAATGAGGCGGTCCGCACGTCCACCTCAGTACCGCCGCTTGTACCTCGCAGTGTGAATCCTGATGCAAAGAACCGGCGCTGCTGGTGGAGGAGAAACTCCGCCTCACCTTTGAAGACGCGTGCAACCCAGCGAGCCTGAATCTCCGCCTGAGGCATGATGGCTCCGAGGGCGTGGATGAAGCCCACCACAGCCAGGGTGGGATGCTCCAGGTCGGGGGGGAAGACGTGCTTGTACAGACCCACGCGGTGGCCGGACCGGTACACGGCACTGCTCGGCATGTAGGGGAAAGCATAGTTGTAACCCGTGGCGAACACGATGGCGTCCACCTGCAATGAGGACGGGACGGGTCACAGAGGAGCTTCTGCTGGAGAAAAGGAAAATGTGGGAAGGTCCCCTCACGTCTTCCACTGTGCTGCCATCATCAAACAGCACGGAGGAGCCACGGATCTCCTTCACGTTGGGTTTGAGGATGACCGAGCCGGACAGCATCCTGAACGGCAGATCATCGTTGATCACTGGGATCTGACTGAAGAGCCTGAGGGGGCGGCAGGACCATCGGACATAAACCCCGAGACAGATCACAGCCTGCACACAGCAGGTCTTCGTGTCCTCACCTGTGTTTGGGCTTCAGGGCGTACATGGTGTGGTCGTACATGGCGTTGACCTTCTTCTCGCCCAGCCAGTTCATGACGTTGGTGGGCAGCAGCTGGAAGAGGATGTGGACAAAGCGGGTGTTGTACTTCATGTCGACGGGCAGCCCGTTGTCGGAGACCTGGCGGATGACCCAGGCACCGCGACGAGTGCTCATGTACACCTGCAGACGAAGGGCGAAGGTCAGAACATCCACATGCCTGAATCCTCACAAAGAGCGATGGGAAAAGAGTCCCCGACCTGCTGCGCCACTCGGCTGCTCTCCACGGCGATGTCGCTCCCCGAGTTGCCGATGCCGATGACCACCACGCGCTTCCCACACATGTCCTCCGGCCCCTTGTAGTCCCAGCTGTGCAGGTACCGCCCCGCAAACGTCTCGATGCCTGCAACGCAGCCGAAGGACGTCTCCACCGTGAGAAGCACTGCGATGTGAGCTCATCTGCAGCTTCCAAAGAGACTCGGAGCATCGACAGTCATGATGAACAGGGAGGGAGGGGTCAAACAAGCAGGCCTGTCAATCAGGAGACCAGTTGAGTTATTGTAGCAAACAATAACTCAACATAGTACGTTGCTTTTTCCACCAATATATACACACCTCCATTGCTGAATAGATATATATATATATATATATATATATATATTCACACAAAATGTTTACACTGTATTTGTTTGCAACAGACACTTTAGAGCGTGTGCAGTAGCAGCATAGCTATGATGCTGTTAGCCATGAGCATTAGCTCTAGCGATTAACATTAATGAACGGGTTACGGCCGTCATGGACAAAGGTTAAGTAGCTTAGACCAACACTAGAAGGTCATGTGAGCTTTTGTATTCCGTGACTATAGCATGAACGCATAGCAGGATTGGAAAGCTAACAAGCTAACTAGCCAACCAGACTTCGATAGCGTGGTGGAATCAGCTAGCTAGTTTGCTAAGTAACAAGTCGCAACTTCAAGATGAATGAAAATATACAGCAAGTATTATAACAATGTCATTCTAATGATACAGTCTATGAAATAACAAGTAAGCTGATATTTTTGTATTTTAACGATACAATGATGATGATGACGATGTTGTCTCTATCTGATCATGTGACCACATTGCGATGTATCGCTGGTGTGCGTGCGCTTCCTTGCTAACGTGAACTTTAACCCCTGGATGATGAAATGATGGTCAGATGAGAGAAGCTAACATGTGAGACGGAGGTTGCTGGTTCGATACCCCAGACTGCGGGACGAGTCAGCAGGTCAGACCCGCCCCCCCCCCCGTCCCCCCGTCCCCCGAGTGAACACGGGGGCCAACATGAGGCCACCTCCAAAGCCTCATGTGGCGTCACCTGGGAAGTCTTTGAGTGGCAGGTTGGGGTAGGTGTAGTGACCCGAGCAGCAGATGACCGCATCAAAGACGTGCTTCTCCTCCTGCCCGCCGCCGCCCTCCGTCACCACCTCCCACTGGCCGGAGCGGCTGAAGTCCGGCCTCTCTCTGATCGTCTTCACCGAGGTCTGACCCGGTATGAGCATTGAAGAGGAAGAGAGCGTGAACATGGGAGTCATCTGATGAGTCCCCTCCACCCACCACCCCACCCACCTGGAAGCGGACGTGCTGCAGCAGGTGGAAGTGCTCCGCGTACATCTTGAGGTATCTCAGGATCTTAGAGTGGTGCATGTAGTTGGGGTAGTCTGCAGGGATGGGGAAGTCGCTGAAGCAGATCATCTCCTTGGAGGTGTTGATGGTGAGGGATCGGTAGATGCTGGCCCGGTTCGGCTCGGACACTTCCTGCAGAGGAAACCTTTGAATACACTCTTCTTCTTCTCTCCACTTTTCACTTCAACCGCCGGGGGCTGCTTGGTCCTTGGTTGCCCCCCCAGAGTGACTTGCCTTGAACCTCCACAGCCCGCCCAGGTCATCGCTGCTCTCGAAGCAGGTGGGCAGCATCCCCTCGTCCAGACAGGCCTTCACGCTGGAGAGCCCCGAGGGGCCGGCGCCGATCACCGCCACCCTGTGCACCATGACGGGCCTTCGCCAGGCAGAGCACAGACACATACATGTAAAAGCATGTTGAGATGCCTGCATGCAGAAGCTTCCACACGTTACAGCGAGCACCGCCTCCCTCTACACGTCTGACCGGAGCACCTCTCACCCTGTGAGGAGGTTACGACCTGAGTCGCGTGTTCAGCGTGGGGCTGTCACAATCGATCAAAAATGACGTTCGAATATTCGCAATCACTTGTATAGGTCATTTATTTAAGTTTAAACCCATTTAACAACATATTACCTGCACAAAAACCAGTACATTAACAAAGATAACCACGGATCTCTCTCTCTGCAGTAAAGGGTTTTACGTAGCGACATCGAGCGGCTGAGCCGTAAACACGGAACGTTTCATTGGCATGAAACGGCAGAGAATCAAAGCGGAGCATGAAGCAGCCGATCTGCTCTACGTCATTCATGCAGTTAACAGCCAGCAGTCAGGCGCGCGCCCGCCAAGCAGACGGACATCAGACATATAGGATATCCGTTGACAGCCGTAGTTCACAGTAACAAGTCCCATTGGAGATGTGAGATCAGACATCGTAACAGCCCTCATCTTTCATCCTCCACGAGAACATTACTTTCTGCCTGCGCTCAGATGTGCAAAATGCACAAAGACAAGAAAATGATATTTTTTACTTCGTAAAGAAGCTTTTTTGATGATTTGGTGTAATAACAGATTAATAATATGCACATGAATAAGTACACAGAGCAGAATAAACGCTTTACCTTAATCCTCGTGTTGATTCCCTGTGAAAGAGGATCAAACTTTAATCTTCGCTGCTCGTTCCTCACTGTGAAGGAAAGGAACACGCTGAACGCTATTTACCCAAACCCAGTGGGAGTGACTGACTAGAGACCCGGTGACCGGAGGCCGTCCAGGTCTAATAAGACACAGATGGGACCATACGTGTCCTGACTGACCGTTTGAATGTTGTTGATTGACCGGGTCCCTGAAGGGAGGGTCACGCCGTCTGGTACCTTTCCATGCGCTCCTCTTTGAGGGGGGGCTCTCCTGTGCGGAGGCAGCACAAACCTCCTGTTCTCCTCTTTAACTTCAGATCTTCCTGCTTCTTTTCAGCTGAATTGTAGTCATTTGACGTCTGTCTGTACTTACGACGTGTGCTGATGATTTCTGTATTTTATCATTTTTCTATATTCTAGTTAGTAATAAATACTGAATCACAAAGCAAACTCAAGATACTTTTGATTTCTCACAAGGGCAAAATCCACAAATTTCCACCCCAGTGAGGAGTAATTACTGATTACCTCTGTGATCTATTCAGTGACATGACACCGTTTCAGATCATCGCCAGTTTAATTTATAACCATCACAATCAAATCATTAATCAACAATGATATATCTTTTTAACAATGGAACATCAAGTGTGAGCAGGAATCAACACGTGTGCAGAACAGGCATATTTACACTTACATTCAGAATAAGGGTCTATACAGGGAACAAACTAGATCTTTTAGAGCGCGAGGGGAAACATCCCAGCTGGCTCCACGTAGGACAACATGCAGAAACACATGTTTTACATCTGCATTAACAAGCAAAGTGAAAGCTCGACGTTTGGAATGTGCTGAAATAATGAGCCTCTGCTCCACACAATCTATTCTGCAAACACACCCACAGAGAACTAGAACCCCTCACAAACTCATGATCATATCATTCGTTCACCCTCCAGCACGTCAAGACTTCAGAAGGGAAGAAATGGAGACATCGTCTCACTGTTGCAGCCCTGAGACGCTCATTGGTCAATTATTGCAGAGGGACAGAGAGTCTATAACTGGCTGTTAGATTAGTTTAAGCACAATCGTCACGCAGAGGGGAATAAAGACGTGTTCAACGCTGCATGAGATGCTGCTCATCAGACGAGCTGGAGAGGTGTCGTTAGCGGCGAGGGTTTGTGTACACGCACACACACACACACACACACACTGCCGTTAATTCGTTCACACATTAAAACCTCGCTGAACGTCTAACTGAGAATTTGTGGAACATTTCAAGCTTTATGTAAACAGAAGGGGGGAAGAAATGTACCCGCGATGCTTGGTGACGTCGGCTAGTTAGTCGGTAGATGAGAAACGACGGCGTGCGTTGGTTCTTCTGAATGACGTGTGTGGTTTCACATTCTAGTAAAACATTAATCAGACGTGATGAACAAACTTGACGCCGTCCTTCCTGCACAATAGAATGATTGAAGTGTGACCAAATGTCTCCAGAGGCGTTTCCACAGTTCTCTCTTCTCAGATGTTCTCCGTCTCAAAGACCCAACGGCGTGCATGGGCTCCCTCCGGGGTCAGGCTAGATGTCCCAGCAGCCCCTGCAGGGTTTGAGGCGAGAGCCACAGCACCTCCACCAGGTTGTACTGGCAGTAGCCCATCCCGAAGCCGAACACCACGTCGGTCACGTTGTGGCGGCCCAGCATCACGCGGCTCAGCCCCACCAGGCCGGCCCACAGCAGGACCAGGACCCTCAGCGGAGCGGCCAGCACCAGGTGGGCCAGCAGGAACCGCCCACACATGGCGGCGCGGGTGGCGTGGCCCGAGGGGAAGGAGTAGCGGTCCACGGAGAAGGTGGCAAACATGTCCATGCGGTTGTGTGCCGGCCGACGGCGTCGCACCGACGCCTTGACGATGGTGACCAGGATCAGGTCCAAAAGTAGGCCTGGGGGGGCAGAGGTTAGTCCCATGAGCAAAGGCCTCACATGCATTTAAACACAAGGAGATGTAAAGAGGAGAAGCACTGGGCCTGTCAGGCACATCATCAGGGGTTTGGTTTCACTTCAGCTGAACTCTGATGTCATTTCCTGTCTGAGTGACACTGGAGTTTGTTGGGTGCTTTAGACATTGATATAAAAGGGTTGCAGAAGTATAAATACTGAAGAGGAGATATGTTGATTCACAGCCCTAAACAGCCTCGGTTATGTTTGTGCGCTAGGAACACAATGACATCACCGGGATGATGAACAGAAATCACCGCCGAGCTATAAAACACTCCTGCAGCGTGTATTCATCACAGCAGTCGTCCTTCTCTTGAATAAAAGCTACTGATACAAACCTCTAAATACTAACGTAGGGGGCTGCATCTCTTCACAACGTGTTCACCCTTTTCCTAAAACAGCCCTGATGGAGTTGGCTTTATTTAGCTCACGTCACATGACTGCGTGAACCAATGAGACGTCCGCGTGGGAATGACAGGATAAACTTTGATAATAAACAACTCAACCCACATAAGGAGTCTTATTATTTAATCACAGTAATTATGTAAAAGAGAAAATAATCTGCTTTTGTAATATATTAGTTATTATTGCCCGGTTTTAAGTGATGTGCATTGGAGTATAATGGCACAAATAATAAATATTAGTTATAGTTTAAATCCATCTTTGTTTTATCTTTGGAACGTATTTCCCTGTTTCCAGAAAGTCATTATATATATTATATGATATCTTGTATATCATTCAGCCTAGAGGTTGAAGATGCGTGACGTGAAGCAGTGAGGTGGGATGGATTGGGCCATCTTGGTACAGTCAGCTGGCTCACCCAGCATTGGGTTAGTGGTACATGTCCTTCTTAAAGAACCATAACGTGCTCAATTATCAACCGATAATAAAGAGATGTAGTTATGACACTGCTACATACTATGACATACTATACTATCTACAAAATAGAGTAATGTTCTAAAATAGGAACAAGATTTCTTTACAAATATACATGCTGATGTTGAAATCCCCACCCTGTACAGAGATGTATTTATGAGGCTGCATACTTATGAATAATTATAACCATGGGTTTTCATACGAAAATGACATTAAACAGAACATCATGCATAGTATTCAGTGTCATAACTACATCTCTGAGGTTTATAACAAACCAAACCGTTTAAATATCGGTTAAAAATGGAGTTATAGTTATTTAAGAAGTACATGTACCACTACCAACAATGTTATGAGCTGACCGCACCAAGATGGCCGCCACGCGCGGACGTTCGATACTCCGCCGTAAGACATCTAGCCTTTATATATACGTCTATGGGTGGGATCACCTGAGGGCTCTCAGAGGGATGAAGACACAACCCCAGCCCCTCAGCCCCCCAGCCCCTCAGCCCCCCAGCCCCTCACCCCCTCCGTGGTTCCCACGAACCGTGACCCGAGCAGACAGATGCAGGAGAGCACAGAGCTCTTACCCATCAGCAGGTTGAGCATGACCTCTTGACCCGCCGCGCTGTCGCTCTTGTACAGGCAGTACGCGGCGCCGGCCAGCCACGGGATGCCGTGCCCGGAGATCTCGATCAGCTTCATGAGGGGCCGCACGCTGCCCCACGCGGAGTCCTCGCAGGCGCACACCCCGAGCCGCTTGGACATCCACAGGTCGACGGCGAGCAGCGAGCTGAGCGCCACCCGCGCGAACGACGGGTTGAGGCGGATGCCGTCCTCCTCCGGGGGGGGGACCTGGCCGGCGGAGGAGGAGCCGGAGCCTCGGCGCCGAGTGGGGCTCTCCGACAACCGGAGGCGGGCAGTGGTCGGGTCGGAGCCCTGCCGCTGGAGGAGGAGCGGCGGCGGCGGAGAGGACCGGTTCAGCGGCTTCGTCAGAGACATGAACTCGTAGCGGCCGTTGGCGCCTCCGAGCACCGGGCTTCCGCGACCGGAGTTTTTCGCTTTGGGAGACGGCATGTTCGGGTCTACGTACCGTGGGTACGGTGAGCAGGGAGGTTATCCGGTTATCCGCAGTGCTGTGCGGGCTGTTGCTCCTTTAATTCATCTGTTGGACGCTTCACAATTCAGCTCACGTCCGGAACCACGGAGCACAATCGCCATCTTTGTTCGCAAAGCCTCCTGGGTAATTGGGTTTTTCGGTGAGACGGGTTTCTCCCATTGACAGTTCCCTTCATGAACCAATGATATCACTGATTTGTATTCATCATCGTGAGTGTTTAATTGTTCTCCTGTTTAACTCTTCTCTTGTTAAGCTATTAAATACAAAGCTATTAAGGACTAAAAAACACTCTTGTATCTGGTTGGCCGATGATCTCCACGTGACGTAAACAAACCCCGCCCACATCCGGTAGGGTTCACGAGGTGCTGACCGCTCTCCTCCCACACGGAAGTAGTAGTAGAAGAAGAAGAAGCCGACATGCCTGGCCTCCTCCTCGGGGACGAGTTCCCAAACTTCGATGCCGACACCACCATCGGCCCGATCAAGTTCCACGACTTCCTGGGCAGCTCGTGAGTAATAATGTGCTTTAACTCCCGCAGTGCAGCGTTGTAAATGAGTGCGCGTGCACGTGTTGTCAATGGACGCGGAGTTTCAATGATTGAATTCTGAGTTCATAAACTATATCTAATGAATCGACCTATCGGTCACATGTCCATGGTGTGACGTCATGCGCCCACCGCTAAAACAGCTATGAAATGTTCTCTGTGCCCCCCCTCCCCCCTCCCCCGAGAGTCAGGACAAAGGCGCCATTGTTTGTGTTTCATGTGAACTTTGCCTTCCTGCTGCAACCCCGCGGAGGTCCATCCCTGAGCGACACACACACACACACACACACACACACACACACACACACTTTGGAGATCTGAAGGATTTCCACATGCATTAAAATCCATTAAGTGAGAAATCTATTTTTTTGGCTACTACCTGAAGAGAACATCCTGTATTAATCCCTGTGGGTTTACGGTGTGCTGCTGGAAAGAGGTGCCTTGCTCGGAGACACTCTCAGAGGGCAGGTAGCAGGCTGGGTTTAAACCCTCAACCCTGCAGCTACTGCACCGGCTGGACACCACGCGCCACGTTCACATGACCTGCTCACGCACACAGTCAAGTGCCTCATAGTCATTAAATACAGCTTTAAATGTCACGTGTTTGGCTGAAGACGACCTGGAGAGTCACGTCTTTGTGTGTGGAAGTCGCTGGTTGCTTTATTTATTGATCATAGACTTTATTGCCCCGTGCATCCACACTGCTGCTTTTCATCACGGACACATTTGTCCCGTATTTTCCTCCACGACTTTGTCCCCTCGTTTGTGGAGATCTCCCTCCATGAATCAGAGGCCATCCGGCGTCCTCATAGTCCGCCAATGACGGCTTGTACAAGCGCTCATGTTTAAAAGCTCTTCAATCTGATCCGTTCTCTCGTAAACGTTCTTCCTTTTAATAACGGCCGTATTGTGCTGTGAAAACGGAGACGTGAGACTCCGTAAAGGACGTAGTCAGAGACCAATCACAGCCTGGTGCTGCAGGACGCTGCGTCGCTTTACACGCTAGTCTAGAAAAATGGGTCGACGCACGCAAGGAGGTGAAAAGACACGCAAGGGACACGCAAGGGACACGCAGGGGGCTCTTGCGTGTGCGTGTCCTTGCGTCTCTCTGAAAACGCAGAAGCATAAACTGGGCTTTAGCTGTGTGTCTATATGTGCCCCCCCCCCCCCCCCCCCTGCAGATGGGGTATCCTGTTCTCCCACCCGAAAGACTTCACCCCCGTCTGCACCACCGAGCTGGCCTGCGCCTGCAGGGTCAGCGAGGAGTTCACCAAGCGAGGCGTGAAGATGATCGCCTTGTCAGTGGACAGCGTGGAGGACCACCACAGCTGGAGCAAGGTGGGGGGCTTGTTATCAGCAGCAATGTACCTGCATTGCATTAGTTTGAGGCTTAGGAGCTTGTGGGGGGGTTTAAGGTGCCCGATGCTTCGCCCGCTCCGTGTCCTTTGCACTTATTATTTTTTGTTTTATTTTTATATATTTATATTACATTACATCACATGTCATTTAGCTGACGCTTTTATCCAAAGCGACGTACAATAAGTGCATTCAACCATAGGGTACAAACTCAGGAGAACAAGAAACAAGAAAGTGCAATTTCCTCAAATAAGCCAATTTACAATTTGCTATAGATGAGTGACGTTACAAGTACAATTTAAGTGCTACAATTTGTTAGTCTTTAGTCGAGGTAGAGTCTGAAGAGGTGTGTCTTTAGTTTGCGGCGGAAGATGTGAAGGCTCTCTGCGGTCCTGGTGTCTTCAGAGACCTCCTTCCACCATTTCGGCGCAAGGACAGCGAAGAGTCGAGACCTAGTCGAGTGTTTTGCTCTCAGTGAGGGAGGACGAGCAGTTTATCAGATGCAGAGCGGAGAGTGCGGGTCGGGATGTCGGGTTTATATATTTTTGATGTCTAAATATTCTGACGAATAAAACGCTCTGTTCTTTGAAAGAGCGTACTTGTATTACTACGCTATTGTCTTTATGTTATCAGTCGCAAAAAATGGTCTGAAAATTGCAATAATATCATTTATCGCGCATAATGTTGGTGCAATAATCGCACAATAAAAATGTGCATTGTGACCGGCTGCCAGCATCGTGGTCACACGCAGCACTTCATGTCCACTCGCATGAAAGGGTTTGGGATGAATGACACACGTGGCTCAAGTTTCTCAAAGTCCCAAAACCTGTTCTCAGGCTCCATGTTCCCTCTTCCTCGCGTTCCCGTTTGTCTTTGTCCTTTGATGAAGTTGCACTTTCTTGTTTCTGGCTCTTCTGAGTTTGAATCCCTAAATGGCTGAAATGCACTTATTGTAAGTCGCTTTGGATAAAAGCATCAGCTTAATGACTTGTAATGTCCTTACGGTCCAGGTGCTTTTAGTCTTGACGGACCAGGTGCTTTTAGTCTTGACTGTCCAGGTGCTTTTAGTCTTGACGGTCCAGGTGCTTTTAGTCTTGACGGTCCAGGTGCTTTTAGTCTTGACTGTCCAGGTGCGTTTAGTCTTGACGGTCCAGGTGCTTTTAGTCTTGACGGTCCAGGTGCGTTTAGTCTTTACGGTCCAGGTGCGTTTAGTCTTGACGGTCCAGGTGCTTTTAGTCTTGACGGTCCAGGTGCTTTTAGTCTTGAAGGTCCAGGTATCTTCGCCTTCATAGCTGTGCTAACGCTGAGATGTGTCTCTGCAGGACGTGATGGGCTTCAACGGCTCGTCTGAAGGCTCTCTGCCGTTCCCCATCATCGCCGACGACAAGCGGCTGCTGTCCGTCCAGCTCGGCATGCTGGACCCCGATGAGAGGGACAAGGACGGGATGCCCCTCACTGCTCGCTGTGTAAGAAGCACAACCTCCGATTGCATCACCGTGACTTTAGAGGCCTCCAATGCATCATGACCCAGAACGCTCATCAGAAACCGTGCAGGGCCCATGGAAAGCTTTTCACATACACAGACCTCTGCCCCCCTCCCCTCCAGGTCTTTGTGATTGGCCCCGACAAGAGGCTGAAGCTGTCCATCCTCTACCCGGCCACCACAGGGAGGAACTTCGACGAGCTGCTCCGCGTGATCGACTCGCTGCAGCTCACCGCGCAGAAGAAGGTGGCCACGCCCGTGGACTGGAAGGTGACTCCAGTTTGTCTCCAGAACTGAAAAGTAGTCTTGAGCGTCTTATAGACACATAAAATGGGATTTAGGTATTTTACAAAGGGGCCCGAACCAGCAGACGGCCATAAAACATCTTCTCTGCCTGTTGTATTCTTATTTTCTGAACTGGTAAACTTTTAAGAAGCTATATTATTAGTGAGAGGTTCAATACTGGAGCAATAAAAAAAAAGATCTATCTATCTCCATATATATCTATATCTAATTATAATAATAGCGGTTTTCATTATTCCTTTGACACACTAACATGGGAAGATGTGCAAGTTGAGGGTGGGACTGATTTTAATGTGAATAACTCTCCTCCAGCCCGGTGAGAAGGTCATGGTCATCCCTTCGCTCTCTGAGGCCGAAGCTGCCGCCCTCTTCCCGAACGGCGTGACCACCACAGAGGTGCCTTCTGGGAAGAAGTACCTGCGCTACACTCAGCTCTGAGGAGGCGCGGCCTCCTTCTCCGGGTCACAGCTCTGTTTGAACAATGGAAATCCTTGAGTGCTGATTCCCATGTTACAGAGTATGGAAGCACTTTCCCTGGTGTTCCACTGCCTTGTTTCCTTCAATAAAACCTCTTTTCACACACAGCGTTGGAATGTTTGAGACTTCCTCTTCTGAAACATCTGGCTGCACTACCTCCTTCTGCCAATAGGTGGTGGTACACTCTCAGACTAACCTTCCCCCTGTTGCCTAGCAACCTGCTGCATGACATTGTAACTGTACAAACGTGTAAACTGCAGATCGAGATGGTAATCTTATTTCATTTAAATTACAACGATCTGCTTCACCGCCAGAGTGTGAAGTATTTCAGGCTGAGAGGATTTTCCAGTATTTTAAACCAAATTCAAACCAGTTAAGTCAATTACTTTAAACTACAAATAGTCTTAGTCATTCTTAAATCAAACCTACCTCCCCTCACCCCTCTCCCCCTCACCCCCCTTCCCTCCTCTTAGCGCCCATAGCGATGCATCTTACTCATCAAGTGCATTTCTCAAATTCCAGACCACAACAGCCTGAGGAGCTCTGGGTGTCACTGTCCACACACACACACACACACACACACGTACACACGCGCACACACAGATACACACACACTTATTTGTGCTTTGGATAAAAGCGTGAGCTAAATGACGTGATTTAATGCTACACACACACACACAGGAGAGGCGGTGGTGTGGTTGTACCTCGTAAATGTTACTACGGGGGGGAATCAATCCCTGAGCTCATCTTTATATCTCTCTCTGTCAATTGATCACCCACCATCTGAGTGATGGGCTTCAGAACCAGCGGAGAGCTCCACCGTGTGCGTCAGGAATCAGGATCAACATTTATTGACAAAATCTGTCAAACATACAAGGAATCTGTCTTGGCGGTTGGTGTGTGACAGCTGTGTGTGTGTGTGTGTGTGTGTGTGTGTGTGTGTGGACCGCCATTAAGAGGACACATCAACCTCTGTCCCCCATGAGGACAGCAGAGTCTTCATAATATTCCAGAGCGTATATTCATGAGGGGGCGTGTCAGGGGGTGGAGCCATGATGCGTATGTTTGATGTGTGTGTATTGTGTGTTATATTTGTGCTATATGTACGGTTTGTTAAGTTAATCTAATCAGTTTGTCTATTATGTCAAATCTTTTAACGTATTTTTTATCCTTTTAATGTTTTACTGGTTTTACTGTATGAAGCACTGAAATGTGATTCAGTGCTTCATACAATTCTTTCCTCTTTTCCTCTCGCTTCAGGCAACTTGCTTCTTCCCCCCCGGTCGCCCCCCCCCCCCCCCCCCCCCCTCCCCCCGGTGCTCTGACCCTGTGTGTATATTAGCTCGCTAGTCTGCATCGTAGCCTCCAGCACCATGACACCACCCTCATTGAACGGACCTCTGGTGGGGATATTGCCCCCCCGGTCATTACCTCTGGGCTTTAATTAACGGACACACCTGTCCGAGGGTACTGGGGACCCGGGGGACCCCCCCACCCTGGAACTGTTCTCATATCAGCTCAATGAGGCGAATGTAGACGTGCTCCATAAAGCCCCCACAGGTGATGCGGGAGATGCTCGCGTAGGGGAGATGAGTGGGGTGACTAGCAATGCTAATGGGGGCTGGGTTGGTGGGGGGGGGGGGGGGGGGGGTTTGGTTGCCTGCCAAACTACCAAGCAGAGTTAAAAGCCCAGAGTGACAGCCCTATTAGAGGTTAATGGAGGCTGGGACAGCTGAGACCCCCACCCAGCCCCACCCGAGCTGCTCCATCCCTGTAGTTAAACGTCTTTATGGGCGAGGGACTGGCCCGGGGACGGGCTCTCGCCCTATCAGACGCCCCCCCACGGGGTAAGAAAGGTCAAGGACTCTCATTTCTCATCTCAGCCAATTACCCCCCTCACCCCCCTTCTCCAGCCCGCCTTCCCTCCGTCCCTCCATCTGGTCCTGTTACCCTGCTGAGCCAATCACATCCATTCTGCCTCACACACACACGCACACACACAGACTCACATACACACACACACGCACAAACACACTGTCCGTCATAAATTAAGTGACATCAGAGCAGAATTCCACTCAAATGAACATCCGTCTTCCTCCAGAGATGCTTCTGAAGCGCCCCCCCCCCCCCCCTCCGGGAGTCCGCACGCAGCGCAGCGAGGACGTCTGAGACTGTGGGGCGGTTGTGTGTCCGGGTGACACGGTCCCGACTCGAGTACTCGGGGGTCAAAGCCGGACCTTGTAGCGCTCTGAGGAATGCAGAATATGCAGCAGGAAACAAGCTGCACGTCTGTGCTCATAGAAAGAGGGACTGTGTGTGTGTGTCTGTGTCTGTGTGTGTGTGTGTGTGTGCGTGTGTGTCTGTGCATGTGAGTCTGTGTGTCTGTGCATGTGTGCGTGTGCGTGTCTGTCTGTCTGTGCATGTGAGTCTGTGTATGAAATGTGTGTGTGTGAGGCAGGGCGACATCGGTCGGGGAGATACTGGCGATTACTTCTGAGAGGAGCTTCCATTAACCCGTAGCCTGCAGTGTGACCCTCTCGTTGCCCCACTTACCCCCCCAGAGGTCAGAGGGTAACAGGGTTTCTATCAGAGAGGATCTGAGGGAACAGAAGAACACCAACATGCAGCTGTGTTCATCCATAACGGATGCACCTCTGTGTTATATGGACCCTTCATCCAACCAACGAGGATTCATCCGAGACCATCAGGACTCAAGTGGAGACCGATGGAGAGGGAGGCCGACCCCTCCCCCGCCATGCTGAGGCATCTAATGGCGCCGCTGGTCCTGGGGGGTGAAGCTGTGCGACTCATCAGCGCTTCCAGTAATCATTCGGTGGTGATCCAGCACAGCGATGAGAATCTGGGCCTCGGTACCTTCGAGGTGTCCACCAGAAGGTTCCAGGTCACAGAAAGGTCTCCAGAGGAACCCTCCTGCAATGTGCACACGTTTGAAACGGAGGCCATGTGGTTGAGCTCACAGGCGCTCACGTGGCTCTGATTAAACAGCAGCTACAGCTGGCGCATTAAGAAGGACGCGCCGCTCTCCTTGAGGTCGACGTCCTCAGCCAGTCACTGGGATCCACCGTCAGGAGGGGTCGTGGTGAACGGAGCTACCTGTTAGCCCTGCATCATCCCCGTGGGTCAGAGGAGGGCGTTAGCGATTAGCGGTGAGCAGTTAGCTCGCTAATGTGACACCCGGCCTCCTTTCACGTGATGGCGTTGACAGTAGAACTACAAGTATTGTAGCTCCAACATAATGTCTCCGGCTCCTGTAATGCATGTTACCAACATTCCTGTAACAGTTACTGGCGCCGGCGCACGCAGGAACCCAAGAGCACGACTCCGACAACGACGAGAGACAGGCGGCTTTACTTAAAGTTCAGGCAAGGTCAAAACCGGGAGATCCATCAGCAGGCAAACTAGTCCAGAGGGGCAGAGACTCCTCGGCCGACAGGCAGAAGAAGACCAAACGCCACGAGCCGATCTGCCAGGGAACAGGAGAAGGTTTGAACAGTGAGGCGCTGACGAGGGGATGTGCTGAGGTGAGGAGGGCGAGGAGAACCAGGTGAGGGTGACGAGCTGAAAGGAGTCAGTGAACATGCAAACAAACTATGTGGTCAAACATCCCGTCGGGAATAAAGCCTCCACGCGGGTGTCTGAGGAAAGCCGTACTCACTGCGTGAGTATGTATCACTGCGTTTAAATAAAACACATTCTTGTAGTTATTACACAGAACGGAGACTTTATCTGGTCCCACGCGACTCTACAGAGAAGCCACACGGTACATTCAGAACCTCCGTCATGAAGTCTTTCATGTATCATGAATAAAGGCAAGTCGTTCATTACAGAGAAGCTCTGCAGATTATTGTATGAACGACATGAAGATGAGAGCGGTCATTTGCCCCACGTGCATTGCTGATGGTGGGTCATTATGTTGTGCACGTGCTCAAACTCCCACCCGGTCTCATAACCATTAGGGAGAGGCAGGTGGCAAAAACGTTTTCTTATATTCTGGACTTTCCCAGGCAGATTAAAACAGAGTTTTTTCAGATGCGCCGTTTTGAGTAAAGAAAAATGGAGAAAAGAGTTTTTTTTTGCCATCCGGGGCACCCCCCCCCCCCCCCCATGTCTCTGTCCAGTCTCTCTTTCCTTCCTCTCTACGTGGATCCAGTTTCAACGGCTTAAATTAAATCATGAAAATCAACTTCGTCATTCCCATCTTTAATGAGCGAGGTGGAGGGATTTCCAAGGTGTTTTCTTTAGAAAGGTCTGGTCTGTGAAGGGAGCCCGGGGAAGTGGCTCAGCTAAGACCCAGATACTTGGGACCACGTCACAGAATCCCCACAGGAACCTCACGTTGTGCAGAAACAGACTGTGGGGGGGTCACTCCCTCCAACAGCACCAGGGGAACATGTGGAACCCGGACCGCCAGTGTTGTCTTTTCATGTGGCTGTGATGGGGCCTCACCTCTCAGGACGCCCACACAGCGCCACCCGGAGGTTTCAGGCTGCCGAGAGCACAAAGTTCACATCTGTCTCACATTGTGTGTGTAGTGCTAATTAGCAAATGCTACTTGCAGAACATCTGCATGCTAAAATTGTAGTTGTTTGCTCATGTTAGCATTGGTTGATGTTAGCATTTATCTCAGAGTACAGCCTGAAGGACGGCTAGCTGCTAAAGAAAACAGACAAAAGGTAAAAATTATTATTAAACTGACATAGTTTTATATAGTTCCAATGTTTACTTTTAGCATATCAAACAGCTAAATCTCTCCTTCTCCTTCTGCTTAGTTTCATTTCTGCAAAAATGAGAAAGAGCACGCACACATTTTGTCTCTTTGTGGTTACGAGAGGTGCATCATGGGATCTCCTGTGGATTCCTGTCAGAGTGAAGATCACCGCACTGACTCATACACCGAGAGGAACCGCAGTGTGGGCAGTGGAAACCACGCTGGGGGGGCTGGGGGGGGCTGGGAATCCCTTCAGCCGACCAGAAGAGGATCCCGCCAGCTGCAGATGATGATTCAGCGCTCCACAGAAAGGTCAAAGGTTGCTGTTTACACCTTCTCATTGGTAAACTACTGCAGAACTCCAGCAAAACGTGGGAAC